GTGCAGTTGGTTTGTATACACGAGGATAGCCACAGATATTTGACTGATGTGTTACGACAATGTTATGAATCGATAGACAACATTTTGTGGGATTTTCTTAAAGAATTTTTCATCAGCCTTATATTCTTGGGACCGTCATCTTCATCTGTGTAGTTCATGTTGCCTGAAATGTCCTTATGCATGTAGCACATGGCTGTATTCACAATAATGAAATAACAAATGCCAGTGAACTAAATTGTCAGTTACTGAGAATTTGCCCTCAGAATTGAGCTGAACCTTTGTGACAGAACTAAGAATTATTTTAATTTTCTGTATCAAATACTTTATGGCTGATTTTTTTGTCCAAGTAGTGATTTTTATGGGCTCAAGTCACACTTGAGGAAAAGGAATTTCTTACTGATCTTTACCTAAGAATCTCTGGTATTGAAAAGAGCTCAGGATGTGGTTGGGTCTTTCAGTGTCTCAGGTAGAATGTAACATATCAATTTGTAAAAACTCAGAAATACAATCACCATAATATTGGTGATATAAAGGCATGTCACAGCCATCTTCCCACAGGGGTTTACTCCAGCCTTAGTCTGACTCCCACACAGTGGGTTAAAATGCCTACTCCAGGGGTGGGCTTTTGGCTTAGTAGTTAAGATGGGAGTTAGGATACCACCAGAGTGCTTGGATTCAATTCCAGGGTCTTGACTCCAAATTCCTGCCAGTATGCTCCTTGGGAGGAAGTGGTGCTGGGTTCCTGCCACCCATATAAGAGACCTGGATTGCGTTCCCAGCTCCTGACTTTGACCTAGGCCCAGCCATTGTGGGCATTTAGAGACTGAACCAGGGGGTAGGAGCTCTCCGCCTCTCAGATAAATTAGAGAAAACATTGTTAATTCCTGCTTTGGAATGTACTCCTTACCCATCAACTAACTGAGCAACTGCTTTTTTTCTAGTGTTGTAGACCACCTAGGATAGATCTCTCACCATGAAGTGTGCTTCTGCTTCCCAGCATCCAGCAAAATAACGTGGTACATTGTGCTGGGTGCTTTTTAAACTGTTAGCTTTGGGATCATTTCACCCACTGTCTTTAAGATTAGATGGATAAATTGTTGATAATATACCCATTTTCATAGAAAATGATGTTAATGTTAAGTTGCACATGTTCATGTTCTTTTTTTTATTTTTTTAAATTTTTTGACAGGCAGAGTGGACAGAGAGAGAGACAGAGAGAAAGGTCTTCCTTTGCTGTTGGTTCACCCTCCAATGGCCGCCACAGCCGGTGCGCTGCAGCCGGCGCGCCGTGCTGATCCTAAGCCAGGAGCCAGGTGCTTCCTCCTGGTCTCTCATGCGTGTGCAGGGGCCCAAGGACTTGGGCCATCCTCCACTGCCCTCCCAGGCCAGAGCAGAGAGCTGGCCTGGAAGAGGGTCAACTGGGACAGAACCCAGCGCCCCGACTGGGACTAGAACCTGGTGTGCCGGCGCTGCAAGGCAGAGGATTAGCCTATTGAACCGCAGCGCCAGCCATGTTCATGTTCTGGGTTGAATTGTAAACCCAGATTTTGACACTAAGGTTCCTGTTTTCTAATAATTATTATGTACAAAGCACCTTCTTTATGTCTAGCACTCTTCTAGGTATTACATCAAATCTTACAACTTTCCTCCTCTGGTAGGTCTTACCACTCATTTTATGTATATTGAAAACCAGCCCCAGAGACATGACATGATTTGCTAGCATTTGTGTCAGTTGTGAGTAATAGAATGAGGATTTGCACCTGATCTCTCAATCTGCATATCTTCCTGGTGTAATTTTTGAAACACGAGAATTGACACTTGTGTTACAGTTGTGTGGGTAATGAACCAGAGATAAGTTTTGTCAGTCTATATACAAAACTCAGGGTTGGGTTTCGCTCACTACTTAAGGTTTTGGTTGGTAAGACCATGCAGTTATTGGTTTGCATTTTGTCTGATGCAACTTTTGGATACTGCCAAGTGCTGAATGCTAAAACACATGTCACTCCTAAGCCTTCCTCAGGCCTTTGGCGCCCTTGCTGGTAAGGCAGGTGGTCTGAGAAAAGGCTTTCCCCAGGTTGTGGCACGCTGTGCACAGCAGAGAGCAGTGCGAGACAACTGTCAATTTCTTCCTTCCCTTCTCCACCGCCCCCCAGAAAGCTGGGCCCAGATGGAAGAGCTGGAAGCATGTCAACTGTTCTGAAGGGCATTGAGACAATACTGCCAGGGAGAAAAAGGCAAGCGCACCAGCATATTAGTCTACTGATCAGACAGGGTGACCATAACCCTCACAAAGACAATGTCCTGAACAGAGGAACTGAGAAGGACTGGCAGTGCTGCCTACATGGTTTTGTCAGAGATTTGTAACTTGGGAATGTTGTGTCATTGAATTCAATTTCTTTACTCTTAGGTCTTTTTGTAAAATGTGGTCACTATAAACTGAAACATAAAAATAATATTTGGGGATATTTTTCTCATCAGTCCTGTGAATAAGCAAAGATGTGTCTTATTACCAGGACTATGAACACTTTTGTGTGCATTTTCTTGTTAGCTATGGTTTCAGAGAAAGAAGATTGACTTAGCATTCTCATTTGAACCTTTGCTACCCATGTCTTATACTTTAAATTTATTTCAGTAGTTATTATAGAAGGAATGTATACTATTAACTTATTTTTATTTTATTTGTAGGTAGAGTAAGAGAGAGAGAGAGAGAGAGGTCTTCCATCTGCTTCTTTGAGATCTCCTATGCGGGTGCAGGGGCCCAAGCACTTGGGCCATCTTCTGCTGCTTTCTCAGGCCATAGCAGACAGCTGGATTGGAGGTGGAACAGCCATATGGGATGCCAACACTGTAGGAGGTGGCTTTATCGGCTATGCCACAGCGCCAGCCCCACTATTTATTTTTAAAGACTTATTTTATTTATTTGAAATGCAGAGTTAGAGAGAAAGAGATCTGTCAATCAATCTTCACCTGCTGGTTCACCCCCAAACCGTGAAAACTGCCAGGGCTGGGCTAGGCTGAAGTCGGGAGCCTTGGGCTTCACCCAGATATCCTGTGTGAATGGAAGGGCCCAAGTACTTGAGCCATCTCCTGCTCCTTTGTCAGGCACAATAGCAGGGAGTGGGATAAGAAGTGGAGCAACTGGGACTCTAACCTGTGCCCATATGGTAAGCCAGTGGCTTAATCCACTGCATCACAGCACTGGCTCCAAATGTGTACTGGTTACATAGAAAACGTTGCCTTACTAAAAGGAACAGAGCTCACTTTAAAAGAGATTGTTGGGGGGCCGGCGCTGTGGCACTGTAGTGCCAGCATCCCCTGTGGGTGTCCATTTGGGTTCTGGATGCTCCACTTCTGATCCAGCTCTCTGCTATGGCCTGGGAAAGCAGAAGATGACCCAAGTCCTTGGGCCCCTGCACCCATATGGGAAACCTGGAAGAATATCCTGGCTCTTGGCTTTGGATTGGTGCAGCTCTAGCCGTTGCGGCTGTCTGGGGAGTGAATCAGCAGATAGAATGTTGTGTCTGTCTGTCTGTCTGTCTGTCTCTCTCTCTCTCTCTCTCTCTCGCCTCTGCCTCTGCCTCTCTGTAACTCTTGTGGTGGTCCTGGTTTTATTAGTAACCAAAATGTGTAACATTTTGCCTTTGATGGGGAAGAATGGCTGTTGTTGTGCCCTAGAAGGTTAGGCCTCCTCCTTTGATGCCGACATCCCATATGGGCACCACTTTGTGTCCTGGTTGCTCCATTTCCAATCCAGCTCCTTGGTGGTAGCCAAGGAAAAGGAGTGGGAGATAGATCAGTGTTTGGGCCCCTGCCACCCTCGTGGGAGACCCAGATGAAGCTCCTGGCTCCTAGCTTGGGCCGGCCCAGCTCTTGGTGTGGGGCCTATCTAGGGAATAAACCAGTGGATTAGCAGATACAAAGAAGATTGTTTCTTCCCTACTCTTCTGTAACTTTCAAGTAAACAAATTAATTAAAAAATCACTCTTCAGTATGAAGTCTTACTCATGTTAATGCAGACCTAATTCTAATATCATTAGTTAGGTTTGATCTAATTTTTCCTCCTGGAATTTTGTTGCTGTTTAGTATTATCAACCTGCTGCTTGTCGTTGATCCTGTAGCTGAAGTAGCTATGTTTAATTTAGAATCAGTTCTACTTTTCATCGCTTTGAACAATATACATCATAAATGAAATTTCTATGCATGATGTTAGAGATTGACTTCATCTCTTTTGAGAGTTGAGACATAAAGATACAGTATTTCATCATGATAAGTAATTTATAAACAACTAATTACATTTCTGTTTCTGTGCCATGCAGTTCAGGTCTACAGGTTAGATTTTTTCCCCCCTATCTGATATGCTGCATTAATAAGGAAAAGCCTTTGCAATTTTTAACCTTTCTCAGCCACCATCTAAACTGTTAACTGTTAATTCATATACCCCTTGACCTGTCCCTTTGTTCTAGTGTCAGGTTGACAAAACAAAGTATCACAGACTGGGTGGCTGAAGACAATAGAAGTTTATTTTCTCACAGTTTAGTCATTCAGAAGTCCAAATAAAGGTGCTGAGTCTTTCTGGAGAGCTCAGTGGGGAGGCCCTGGCAGGGCTATCAGCGGCATTCCTTGGTTTGGAGAAGCATCACTTTAGTGACTGCATCTGTCACCAAGTGTTGGTCTCTCTCAATGATTCTCTTCTTTTCTTCGTTAAGGATGACACTTACATTCACTTTGGATTTAAAGCCTACACAGATAATCCAATGTGATCGCTCCTGTGGAGAACCTCCCCTAGTTATGTCTTCAGACACCATTTTCCTATATAAGGTAACAGCCACAATCCCAGATGTTAGGATATGGACGTATTTTGGGGACTGCCACTCAGCTTGTTATACTAAACGTCTGCTTAACTTGTCATTATTCTAGAACAGTATGTAGGTATTTCAGTTTGTCGCTATTTTTATTCTGTTATAAAAAAGCATGACCTTTGTTTCTTTTATTCTCTGTAGTTGGTCCTGAGAAAAGGGTGCCAGCAATGCCTGGGTCGCCTGTGGAAGTGAAGATACAGTCAAGATCCTCACCTCCTGCCATGCCACCCCTCCCACCGGTCAATCCTGGAGGACCGCGGCCGATGTCCTTTACTCCTACAGCATGTGAGAGCTCTTAATTGCTTTGGTTTGTGGCTCAGGTTGCCATTTGAATCTAGGTGACTGACTTCTCTTAAGTCTTGCAGATACGCTATTCATTTTGAAATGCTATTAAAATATATGGATAGATGAACATAAATGTATCTGGTTGTTTCTTATTTTTACTGCCCGGGTAAGTGGTGGCAGTAGTTAAGATACCACTTAAGACACCTTCAATTCCACATCAGAGGATCTGGGTTCGAGTCCAGGCTATACTCTAGGTTCTGATTTCCTCCTAATGGACACCCTTGGACATAACGGGGATGGCTCAAGTGGTTGTGTCCTGCTAACCATTTATAGACCTGGATTGAGTTGTAGTGTGCAGCGTGCCCCCCCCCCCCCCCCCCGCAGCGTTCTGGCTGATGTGGTCTTCTGTGGGAGTAAACTAGCAGATAGGAGTTCACACACTCACCCAGTATTTTTCTCTGCCTCCCAAAGAAATAAAATAAATATTAAGAAATCGCTATTTTCTATCTGAGAATAGTACTTACCTATTTAGAAGTCTAAATATTTTATTTTCATGGTATTTAGCGGCTATTATTTCTTAGACTCGAACAATGTCATTTTGAATTTCTGTACTGATTTATAAGATTCAAAATTCGTTTCTTAGGGGTTGGTATTGTGGCATAGCAGGTAAAGCTGCTGCCTGCGACACCAGAATCTCATATGGGCACCAGTTTGAGTCGTGGTTGCTCCACTCAAATCCAGCTCCCTGCTAATGGCTTGAGAAAAAGCACAGAAGATGGCCCAAGTGATTGGGCCCCTGCTATCCACATAAGAGACCTGGCTGAAGCTCCTGGCTCCTGGCTTTGACCTGGCACAGCACCAGCTATTGTGAACATCTCTAGGGAGTAAATTAACAGATGGAAGATCTCTCTCTCTCTCTCTCTCTCTCTCTCTCTCTCTCTCATCCTCTCTCTGTAGCTCTGACTTTCACAATAAATAAATACGTATTTTAAAAAGTATATTTTTTTTTGGCTGGCGCCGCGGCTCACTAGGCTAATCCTCCACCTATGGCGCCAGCACACCGGGTTCTAGTCCCGGTTGGGGCGCCGGATTCTGTCCCGGTTGCCCCTCTTCCAGTCCAGCTCTATGCTGTGGCCCGGGAGGGCAGTGGAGGATGGCCCAAGTGCTTGGGCCCTGCACCTGCATGGGAAACCAGGAGGAAGCACCTGGCTCCTGGCTTCGGATCAGCACAGCACGCCGGCCGTAGCGGCCACATGGGGGATGAATCAACGGAAAAAGGAAGACCTTTCTCTCTGTCTCTCTCTCTCACTAACTCTTCCTGTCAAAAAATTTTTTAGAAAACTTATATTTCATAGAATTATAAAACTACTTCTAAAACTGTTCTATGGCTGTCATGGAAATGTCTTAACAAAATAGAATGTACTGTCCTAAGAATACCATAACAAAAGAGCACAGAATGGGTAACACTTATTTTCTCTCAGTTCTGCAGTTTAGAAATTGAAGTGGAAGGTGTTGGTTTCTTAAGCCTTTTTCCTTACCCTACATACATCACCAGTGTCTCTTCCTCTACTTAGAAAGGCATTAATGAGTTTGGAATAGGACCACTCATTTGAGCTCATTTAACCTGGGTTCTTTAAAGTCTCTGCCTGCAAGTACATTGTAAGGTACAAGGGGTTGGGACTTCAAGATGAAGTTTCAAGAGGGCACAGTATCCCTCTACTGGTTCACTCCACACATGGTCCCAACACCCAGCGCTGCTCCAGGCTGGAGTCAGGAGTGTCATCCAGACCTCCCAGTTGGTGACAGGAGCCCAAGCACCCAGACCATCTTCCATTTCTTTCCTGGGCATATTACCAGAGAGCTGGATGAAAAATGGAGCAACCAGGACACAAACCAGTACCCATATGAGATCTGGCTTGCAGGTGATAACTTAATCCACTCCACCAAAATGGTACCACTGGCATAACTACTTTTGAAAACTGTCTTTCCAGTATGCACTGCTGCTGAATTTTCACTTACCCTGTCTGGTGTACATATTCTAAAAAGATGCCAATTTAAAACTTAGACAACCACACACACACACACACACACACACTTGTTGAGGGACAAGTTCATAGAAAAAAAAATTAAGTAATTTGAGAGGCAGGACAAGAAAGAAACACAGAGTTCCTATCTCCTGGTTTTTTCTCCATGACATCCCAGGCTGTACTATGCCAAAGTCAGGAATTGGAGGCTCAGTCTTAGTATCCTGTATGGGTGACAGAGACAAAAACACTTGACCCATACAAGGTATGCCTTGCTGCCTCCTGTGGTGCACACTAGGAGGAAGCTAGAATCAGGAGCAGAAGTGGGCCATGAACCATGTACATAGGCAACACAAGGATGGTTGATAAAATCCCCATGGGCCTCCCTGGAGATGCAGTTCCAGCATATTCAGATAAAGTGCTTATATATGGGCAGTGCCTGAGCTGAAACATTCACTTAGTTTGTGAAACATGCATATTAGGAAAATAATGTACAGATTACAAATTTCTATCAACAATAAGCTTTGTTTTGTAGGTGTCATTGATTTATTTGTTTATTGAAAGGCAGATGCCATAAGAGGGAGAGAAAAGTCTTCCATCTGCTGATTCAGTCGACTGCCCATAATAGCCTGGGCTGAGCCAGGACAAAGCCACAAGCCCAGAACTCCACCAGGCTGTCCCTTGTGGGTGACAGAGTTCCAGGTACTTGGGCCATCATCTGCTGCCTTCCTTGGTACATTAGCAGGAAGCTGGATCAGCAGCAGAGTGACCGGGCCAGTGTTGTGGCTCAGCGGGCTAAAGCCCCAACCTGTAGTGCTGACATCCTGGTTTGAGTTCCAGCAGCTCCACTTTATTTTTATTTATTTATTTATTTATTTATTTATTTATTTATTTTTGACAGGCAGAGTGGACAGTGAGAGAGAGACAGAAAGAAAGGTCTTCGTTTTCCGTTGGTTCACCTCCCAATGACCGCTGTGGCCGGCACACCGCACTGATCCAAAGCCAGGAGCCAGGTGCTTCTCCTGGTCTCCCATTCAGAGAGCTGGACAGGAACAGGAGTGACAGGGACTAGAACCCGGGGTGTTGGTGCCCCAAGAGGATTAGCCTATTGAGCCGCGCCACCGGCCAAGCAGCTCCACTTCTAATCCAGTTCCCTGCTAATGTGCCCGGGAAAGCAGTGGAAGACAACCCAAGCCCTTGGGCCCTAGCATCCATGTGAGAGACCCAGAAGAAGCTCCTGGCTCCCAGCTCCTGGCTCCAGATCGGATCAGCAGTAGGCATTGTGGCCATTTGGGAGTGAACCAGCAGATGGAATTCCTCTCTCTGTCTCTACTTCTCTCTGTAGCTCTTTCAAATAAGTAAAATAGGGCTGGCACCGTCGCTCAATAGGCTAATCCTCCGCCTGCAGCACCAGCATCCCATATGGACGCCGCTTTTAGCCTAGGTTGCTACTCTTCCAGTCCAGCTCTCTGCTGTGGCCTGGGAAGGCAGTGGAAGATGGCCCAAGTTCTTGGGCCCCTGCCCCCGCTTGGGAGACCGGGTGGGCGGAGCTCCTGGCTCCTGGCTTTGGATCTGCATAGCACCAGCCGCGGTGGCCATTTGTGGGGTGAACCAACCGAAGGAATACCTTTCTCTCTGTCTCTCTTTCTCACTGTCTAACTCTGTCAAATAAAAAAAAAATAATAAAAGAAGTCTTTTAAAAAAAATAATTGCTTTAAAAAAACAGAAGTAGATTTGCCAGGGCTTAAATTGACATTTCCACATGGGATGCTAGGGCCCCAAGCATTGTCATAACCTGGTGTGTCTCATGCCCACCCCAAACTTATCTTAATTATATTCTTTCATCCATTCCCTTTGTATAGAATGAAGACGACTTTGCCAGATAAAGTTCCATGAAAGGTTGGCCTAGGAGCAAGGAACAGGTAGTCATATGACACTGACTGGCTTAGAGAAAGCAGAACAGAAATGGGAAATTGATAAGATTATGTTAGGCAGAATACAAGTAACTGTCAGCTTTCTAATCTAGGTGAAAATTTAATGATTGTACTCTTTACACCTTGTTCAGTATTTGAATTGTGTCCTATTTCTATATATTTAACATAAATTATTTGTGAGAAATGATAGACAGAAAGCTCCCATCTGTTGTTTCACTCCCTAAATGCCAGCGACAGCCAGGGCTGAGCCAGGCTAAAACCAGGACCAGTATTTTAATCCATTCCTTCTTGTGGGAGTCAAGGAATCATCAATAGTTGATTGATGCCTACTGACTCCTGGTGTACAAATTTAAACGGATGCTAGAATCAGCAGTGGAGCTTGTATGGTTGAGGGCACCTTAGCTGCCAGGCCAAACACCCTCCCCGCTTTTTTTAGATACTGTTTTACTTTCTTAGATTTTCAAGCCTGAATATGATTAAATGAAAACTGTTCTACACCTAGATACTAGGTAATTTTATTTCAATGTTGAATGACAAAGGAGGTTTTACTTAATGCAAGCAAGAACATAGCTTCCTGATTATTTTCCAGGTTGAAACTACCAAGAAAGGACTATTAAGAACAACAGGAGGGATGGTGTTTATCATAGCAGTTAAAACTGTACTTGGGACGCCTACTTCCCATGTCATAGTGACTAGATTCAGGTGCCATCTCTCTCTCTCTCTTTTAAAGATCTATTTATTTATTTGATTGGCAGGGTTACAGAGAGAAAGGTTTTCGCTCTGCTGGTTCACTCCCCAAAATGGCCACAACTCCAGGAGCTGGATCCATTTGAAGTCAGGAACTTCTTCCAGATTTCCCACATGGGTGCAGGGGTCCAAACTCTTGGGCTGTCCTCTACAGTGTTCCCAGGTCATTAGCCAGGAGCTGAATCAGAAGTGGAACAGCCAGGAATTGAACTGGCAATAACATAGGATATGGACTCCCTCAGGTGGAGGCTCAACCTGCTGTGCCACAGCTCTGCTCCCAACCACTCTGTTGCTGATTACAGCTTTCTGCTGATTGGAGACAGTAGATGATGGCTCAAGTATAAAGTTCCTGTGATTCTTACTGGAGACCTGAATGGAGTTCCTCGCTTGCACCTTCATCCTGGTCAAGTTCCAGTTGTTGTGGGCATTTGGGAAGTGAACCAGTGGATAGGAGGTCTCTCCCTCTCCCTCTCCCTCTCCCTCTCCCTCTCCCTCTCCCTCTCCCTCTCCCTCTCCCCCATCTCCCCTCCCCACCACCTCTCAAATCAGTAGATTAAATATATTTAAAAATTAAAGAAGTAGGTATACCATAATTAGCCACATGTATTAGAATTTTTTAAAAGATTTATTTTACTGAAAAGTCACAGTTACACAAAGAGAAGGAGAGGCAGACAGAGAGAAAGGTCTTCCATCCATTGGTTCACTCCCCATTGTCTGCAAGTGGAGTAACCAGAGCTCAAACCGGCACCCATATGGGATGCCAGCACTGTAGGCAGTGGCTTTACCTGCTATGCTACAGCCCCAGCTCATGGAACTTAGTGCTTTATTGAACGACCAAGAAATTAGCAGTATTAATTTAGCAGCATATAAACTGACTCTGATGAACTTGAGTTTCTGAATGGTCATTAAATCTATAGTCTTCGATAATGTGGGTTAAGACCCTGAAATGGAAGAAGATGTAATAAAAAATGGGCAAGACTGTCCACAGTGGACAGACAGCTCAAGCTCTGCCTGTTGAAGGCAGTTTTTGTCAGAGCTGCCCAGCACTGCCCGTGGCACCCTGGAGTGACAAGTGCCTTCTCTAGGCTGAAGAACACTTTTGTTTTAACATTGTTATATTGTTATCTTTATTTTGTTTTTGACAGTTTGTCTGATAGCAATCTTGTTCAAAACAGAAATGGAGTTTTTGTTGCTCTTTTTTTAACTTGGTGATTTACAAAATTCAAATGAGAGAGCAGAGGTCCTCCTGCTTTTTAGTTAAACTGGATCTTTTATTTTGACTTTCTTTTAGTAAGCAATGGAATCAACCATTCTCCTCCAACCCTGAATGGTGCCCCGTCACCACCACAGAGATACAGCAATGGTCCCGCTTCTTCCACATCATCTGCCCTGACTAATCAACAGTTGCCAGCCACTTGTGGTGCTCGGCAGCTCAGCAAGCTCAAACGCTTTCTTACCACCCTGCAACAGTTTGGGAATGATATCTCCCCAGAGATTGGGGAGAAGGTGCGGACTCTTGTTCTAGCACTAGTGGTAAGTATGGAATTTCTGCTGTTGGCAGCTACCTGCGTAGGTGGCTTGGATCTAAACTCTGCTGGATTGTAGATTTTATGGTAATCTTTATCAAGAAGCAAAACTATGCTTACCTTATTGCTGAAGGTACTGATAAAGTTCCAGGAAGCAGCTTTAGTTGTTTTTTGGTTTTTTTTTTGTTTTTCTTCCATCTGCTAGTTCACTCCCCAAATGGCTCCTGCAGCCAGGGCTGGGCCAGGCCAAAGCCAGGAGCCTAAAACTCGATCCAGTTCTCCCAGATGGGTGCTAGGGGGCCCAGGTACTTGGGCCATTAGTAGGGATCTGGATCAGATTTGAAAGAATTAGAGAGAGGTACAGCCAGAGAGAGGTCTTCCATTCCACTGGTTCACTCCCCAAGTGACCACAATGAAGCCAGGATCCAGGAGCTTCTTCCAGGTCTCCCACGCAGGTGCAGGGGCCCAAGGACTTGGGCCATCCTCCACTGCTTTCGCAGGCCATAGCAGAGAGCTGGATGGGAAGTGGAGCAGCTGGGACTTGAACCGGCACCCATATGGGATGATGGCATTGCAGGCCGGGGTGCCACAGCGCCAGCCCCCTGAATTTGTCTTAAAAATTGGTTTCAACAAGCTTTCTGGGGTCCAACCAAGTTAATTCTAGGCTTTCTAATTTAATGTATTCAGCACTAAGACATAGTTTCCCTACCATGCAGATTAGAATACCAGCAAGCTTAATTTTCAAAATAATAATAATTTATGAAACTACAAGTTTCATGGTTTAAGTAAATTTTATCAATTGTATTTCATTGCTCTACTCCTTATGCATATGTAGTTTCTATAGAATTTTCAAGATAACACATAGTTTTTCTTTCTGTATTGAGCATGGTGAGCCTGTGATAGAAAGGAATGGTTTTCTGATATTAACAGCCAAAAAGGATATTACTCTCAGTGTTTATAAGGAAAGTACTGCCAATTCCCAATGTTTATAAATTAGATTTTTCAAGATGTACCTCCAGTAACAGCATCCTGTACTCCTTCCTGCACATCTGTCTCCATATGTGTTAAAAAGATGCATCACAAGAACACCCTTCTTGATGTGCAATCCAGAGACCCCTGGAATGCCCCTAATATCCTTTCTAGGTGTCCAAAACATCCAAACCGTTTTCATAGAAAAAGTAAGATGTTACTTGCCTTTATTTTCCTCTTATTCTCTCAAGCATGTATGGTAGAATATTCTAGGGACATACCGTGGGATTTTGTGACAGATTAATGCAGAAGTGGTGGATTCCAACTGTCTTTTAATTGACTAGCTATTATGGAATTGCAACACTGTTAAATAGTGTCCCATATATAATGGGTTATTTTGAAATGGGTTAATTTTTTAAATTTTCAGTTTTTATATTTAATACAGTGAATATCGATTGATACAATATGTATAACTTACATGGAATCTGGGACCAAAAAAATTGAAGAGCTACTTCCTTAGAAGATGTCTCAGTCTAGAAGCAGACACAGTGGTTAAAGTGCTATTTGAGATCTTATATCTATATCTAAGTCATAGGTTTGAGTCATAGCTCCATTCTCAATTCCAGTTTCTGCTGTTGAGTACACTGGGGGGCACCAAGTGATGCTCAAGTAATTGATTGCTGCCACCCATGCAGGGCTGGATTGATTTCCTGGATTCCAGTTTTGCCCTCCCTGAACATTAGCTTGAACATTTGCAGAGTGAACCAGTACATGGGAAGTTGACTTGGTCTCTGGTCTCACTTCCTCTTTTTTTCTCTCTGAATTAGATAAAATTAATATTTTAAACAAAAAGAAACATCTTTTGTGAACTTTGAAGCAAATGTTTTTGTTTATTCCTCTTAGCAGAGGAGCTGAGATTCATTCCTTGTTTAAAGGCCGGACTCTTGTTGCAGCCATCTGGGGAGTGAACCAGCAGATGGAAGATCTTTCCTCTCTAACTCTGCATTTCAAATAAAAGTAAAGCAAAGGGTAGACGCTTGAGAAGATACAAGAGAAGTGCTAATAACTTCTGAGAGTGATTAAAACTTGCTTAGGGGAATTTGCCCGTTTGGAATTGTTCTGAAAGGCTACTAGGTCGTTTAAAGGTAGATAACACCGATTGCTCTTTTTGTTTGGTTTTAGCTTCCATTTAGAAACCATGGGAAAGGTAGCTTCAGGTGGATAGGAAATACTATTAAGTTGGCATTTTGGGCTGAGTTAGGATCTGTTCTACAGAAAACATTGTAAACTTGATTCTCTGGCCCTGGCCCTAATGGGCCTTTTTTTTTTTTTGGACAGGCAGAGTGGACAGTGAGAGAGAGAGACAGAGAGAAAGGTCTTCCTTTTGCTGTTGGTTCACCCTCCACTGGCCGCCACGGCCGGCGTGCTGTGCTGATCCGAAGGCAGGAGCCAGGTGCTTCTCCTGGTCTCCCATTCAGGTGCAGGGCCCAAGCACTTGGGCCATCCTCCACTGCCCTCCCGGGCCATAGCAGAGAGCTGGCCTGGAAGAGGAGCAACCAGGACAGAATCCAGTGCCCCGACCGGGACTAGAATCCGGTGTGCCGGCGCCTCAAGGTGGAGGATTAGCCTATTGAACCACGCGCCGGCCTCCTAATGGGCCGTTGATGAATCCTTCAATAGGAGGTGGACCTCAGTGCCTCTCTTCATGAGAGGTGAGGAAGGCAGTGCCCTGCTCTGGCCCAGGCCACCAAGCAAAGGAGTTTAGCTTTATAAAGGAAATAGAATTTCATTCACCTTTGAGGGAGGATTGAGTTAGTAAGAGTCCTCTGGCATTTTTTCCCCCTTGTGATAGGAAAGGGTTCAGCGCTATGACATAGTGTCCGGTTTTGAAAGTAAACAATGTTATTTGTCTTTTCAGAACTCAACAGTGACAATTGAAGAATTCCATTGTAAGCTCCAAGAGGCCACAAACTTTCCTCTTCGTCCTTTTGTGATTCCATTTCTCAAGGTAATTCTAAGAGATAGCTACTGAGTTTAACTTATCTTCATTTTCTCTAGATCTACTGATACCCGTTCTAGGATCTAAATCAAGGCAATTGGCCAGGCTTTCCTTTTTTGATTATTTGGGTCTGCCAAAAAGGTGTGAGTGAAATCTGCGGATCAGCTTCATGCTTTATTGAGAGGTACAGGAATCTAAGTTGTGTGAAGCCACTGCATACAGAAGGAGCAAGTAGAGGAGGGAGTTGGAGGTGCTGGGGGTGGGGCATGGGGCATAGGGCATAGGGTTGGGGGAGACTGGGTTCCCAACAGAAGAAGTAACTGGCCACTCAATCTTCTGACTATGGCCAGCAGGGTTAGGTGTACTTGAGAGGAGGCCTGCATAAAGGAAGGGCCTGTGCAGTTTGCACTTTACCCTAATGGGGGTGGGAAAACATTTTTTTCTGCTAAGGGCCTTTTGGATGTTTATAACATCATTCATAGACCATAAAAAATTACCAACTTAAAAACTAGCCTGCTATATAGATACATTGAAGTATGAGTCCTGTCTGCAAATGCATTGACAGAGCCAGATCAGGGTAGACATTCCACACCTCCTGAGCAGGAGAGGAGGTGGGAGGATAGCTTTTTTGTTAGTTTGTTTTTGCCCTGTCTCATCTTTATTCGTAGAAACAGCACAGGCGGGCACTAGCCCCATACAGACAGCATGCAGGAGTCATACCTTTTGTCTTTCCACTGGCAGGCAAATACTGTTATGTAAACTTCATGGTGGGCTGCGCACCTTTGAGAGTAGCCTGAGCTGGAACTGGGATTGCAGGTGCAGGCCTTGGGCTTGGTTTGAGCCTTGGTCTGGGCCTTGATTTGAATCTTGGATCGGTCTTGGCCTTCGTGGTGTTCTTTAGCTAGGACAGTCTAAGACCCTGGGCAATGTGGGCTCATGTTTGCAGCAAACACCCTTTAGTATCATGGACTTAGCTTCCTTAGGCTTGACAAGGGCCTTAATAGCTTCAGCACCATGCAGTGTTAGCCTTGGTGCTGTTGGCCTTCATCTTCTTCAGGCCCTACTTGTTGTGCTTCTTGGCAAAATGCATTTTCCTTAGGAACTTGGGGTCCACCCCTTTAAGAGATTTGTGTCTTTGGGATTGGGGTTTCTTGGTGCCATTTCTGTGCCATATTTGGGACTGATGTTTTGTGGTGTGGTTCTTGGACTTGGCCATGTCTGCACTATATACTAAGGCTGCCAAAGTGCCTGGGGCCAGAAAAAGAAGACAGGAGAGCAGTTTTACATCTCCATAAGCCCCAGTTATGCTAGATTCTAATACTGCCTCCTGGAATTAATGTTCTCTGGAACATAGCTTTGGAAACACCATTCTAACTTGTCCTTACCTGATAAGTAATGAAGTGTTATATTTTATAGAGTATGCACGCTTTAATACCCTTATCTTTGAAATAGCTTCATGCTCACAGGTAAACTGCAAAGTGGTACAATAAGATCCTTGCATAACCTTCTCTCAGATTCTGCATATGTTAATATTTCAGCCACATTTACATTTTCATTCTCTTTCAATTTATTTTTCCAAAAAAAAATTGGAGAATAAGCTACAAACCAGGTATATCTAAATATACAATTATCAGGAAATTCATACAACACAGTTCTTTATAAACCTTGCCCATGTTTCACCAGGTTTTCTACTTGTGTCCTTTTACCACAACAGAAATGCTTGTGTTGTTAAGGGAAACATAGTCCTGGATGTAATTCAGGATCACGTGTTGTATTTAATTGTCATGTCTCTTTAGCCTGCTTTAATCTGAAAAAATCTCTTAGCTTTTCATGATCTTGAAAAGTGTGAGATTTTTATTTTATGGAATGTCCCTCCCTTTGTTTTTTCCTAAAGCTTCCTCTTGATTAGAATCAGGTGGTGCTTTTTGCACCTGAGTGGTAGGTAAGAGTATCACTGTGCTATCAGGAGGATAGCATGGGGGCTGTTGACTTTGATCATTTGATAAAGGCAGTAACTGCCATGCTTTCGACTGTAAAATTGCTGTTGTCTCCTTTACTTAAATGATAAGTTTCAAAATCAGATAACATTATGACTCAAACAGATTTAAAAAATTAGTACATTTCAGAGATTTTGTTGAATTCATGGTCAGTAAGGGAATCAATAAAATGTCACAACCAGCTCAAAGGTAAATTAAATACAAGGCACATTTACAGATGCCTTTATGATCCTGCAAACACAGGTAAAGATAATTTGTATGTCCCTAGGCAGCAGATATTCTGCATTACTACCACTTATCTGTGCGTTATAGGGTTGGAAAACAGTTCAAAGACATTGAAAGACTAGAGGCAGATACTGGTCTGTTGTAGACCAGGTTGAACAAACTGTGTCTCCGGTCCAACCTATCAGATGGTTTTGTGCAGCTAAGGTCAGCGTTACAGACAATGTCTGTAATCATGCTGGTGACAGGGAATTCTAAGCTAAATGTTATCATACAGAAGGATTAGATTCAGTTGGGTTTAGGATTCTGCTGATATGGTATTTGTGAAAATTTGTTTCCTATTTTATTAACATTTACCATATAAAATCTTTAATTTTGCCTATTGACTCAACAAAACTATCTTGTAGCATAGCAGACCCAGAGGAAAACGCAGAGGCCTGAGGTACACAGAGTGCCCTATGGCTCCATTGTGATCAGATTGCAAGCCTCAGTGGCCCAGAGCAGTCTGTGCGCCTTTCTCAGCTTGTGACACAGCTCTGTATGTTCTGTCTGGGTCTTCCTGTGTCAGAGCTAGTAGACAGCTATTTCTCGATGCCTCTAGAGTCAAGAAAGATTTGTGAGATTTGTATTAGTGGGAAATAATTAGCTTTTATTATTATTTTATTATTCATGATAGAACAATATGTCACAAATGTAAAGATCTGACATGGTATTTTTTTTTTAATTTACATTTTTGCAGTTGCAGGAAGATTGAACTTACGGAACAAACTTAAGGGTTTTATATTGTCAGATTTCCTATTCTTGACACTGTTATTTTGGGAAACAGCATGAAGTAGGTTGTTATGGCAGCTTTTTGGCTGGAATTCAAGGTGTTGTCAATTTATTTCTGCTTTAAAGCAGTCATTAGTTATGGTGCCTGCTAAGATAACCTCTCTGAGGGGATGACTACTTGTTTGTATTAAAACTCCTTTCACTTGTTCATCATCCTTTTGGATAAAAGCTTTTATTATAGGCTCAGCCTGAAATATTTTTAAGTTTGGGTAAAAAACAAAATTCTTACCTCTTTAATGAAAACAATACAGGTAAAGTAATATCTGTTTATGAAGGATTTAGAATTCTGAAGTTTAAAAGAGGCATGGGGTCCAATATTGTGGTGTAGTGGATTAAGCCACCATCTGCAGTGCCAGCAGCCCTTATGGGTGCTGGTTCGAGTCCCAGCTGCTCTACTTCTGATCCACCTCTCTGCTGATGTATTTAGAAAAGCAGCGGAGGGTGTCCTGAGTGCTTGGGCCCCTGTACCCACACGGGAGACCCAAATGAAGCTCCTGACCCCTGATTTCAAGCATGGCCATTGCAGCCATTTGGGGAATGAACCAGCAGGTAGAAGACCTCTCTTTGTCTCTTTCTCTCTGTAACTCTGCCTTTCAAATAAATAAATCTTTTTTTAAAAATGCATATGGTTTTTCATAGGGTTAGTCCCCATTAAAAGTTTTCTGAAGGAAGAGTATCACTCCATAGTTAATTACCCTTTACAGGGTATCTCTCTCCTAGTAATCCTTTGTAGAACTCTGTGTTCCACAAGAATCTGTTGGAATTCCATGGCAGCACTCTGAAGAACAGGAAGGGATCCCAGAGAGAGAAACCAGCATTTGTAATGATGGAGGAAAGAGTGAGATTGCTCTTACTGCCTGGTAGGCAGTCTCTGAAAATACATGTATTCAAATTGTGCTCTACACGTCATTACTGACATATGACCCCCTTCTTTAAGGAGGTTTACATCAGCTTTTTAGGGAAGACAGGAGTCCAATAGCAATTCTAGTACAGTATCATAGGCGACTCTCTACATAATGAAGAACTTTGGAGAATCAGAGCTACAGGGAGAGCAGGGCTTTGGTTTCATGTGACTTAACTCTGTGAAAGCCCTGTGAGATGCTGATCCTGGCTGCATGGGGCACAACCCTGGGAAAACTGCCCCTTCTCTTCAAGGCCAACCTGCCCCTGCTGCAGCGGGAACTGCTACACTGCGCCCGGGCCGCCAAGCAGACCCCGTCCCAGTACCTGGCTCAGCATGAACACCTTCTGCTCAACACCAGTATCGCATCCCCGGCAGACTCCTCTGAGCTGCTCATGGAGGTGCATGGAAACGGGAAGAGACCCAGTCCAGAGAGGTGAGCAGGAAGGACTTTGTTCTTGCTTTTCTTGAACCACTGTGACCTTCTCCTTTGTGTGTGAACAGGAATTTGATTTCTATGCTTACAGATAGCTAATCGATGTTTCAGGCTTTCCAAGGTTTGCTTTGCTTTTTCCCAGTATGAAGTAGTAGAGGGAGTAAGACTATCTCCCAGACATGAGTATCTTTCAAAAACCCTTCAGGTGGGTCTGCATACCCATGGTGAGAAATTCTAGAGTTGTATGGATCCCCTCTGCTTCTGGGAGTATAAGAAAATTCTCTGAACAGTCAACACAGAAGACTTGTGTGACCAAATGGGGGTGGGTTTTTTGTCCACACATAAAGCAAGCAAGCAGTCAGTTCGGCAACAGATGCCAGCTGGAACTCCTGCAGTTTAATTTAGTTCTGACACTGCCTACATGTAGATAGCATCAGATTCTGGATTGAGACTTCAGTCCCCAAAGCTCTACCTTATCCCCTCCCTTGATCTGCCAGTTACCAACCCTCATAGGTGCTTTTTCCTGTGCTTCAGATCACCTGGCTATAAAATAGCACTCCCCCAACACCGTCTTCAGGCTCCATTCATTGATTAGAGTGGCTTATAGTCTTCACTGCACTTATGTTTACTGGTTTATTCCAAAAGATGTCTCACAAGATACCAGAGTACAATGCAGCAAGATGTGGGAGAAGGGGCGTGTAGCTCCCATGCCCTCTGTGTGCAGGTTCTCGAGACTCTGTCCTTTCAGGTTTCTGTGGAGGCCCGGTTGAGTGATTGCTTAAATTGTTAGTCGGTGGTGATTGGCCTAACCTTCAGCTCATCTTCTGTCCTTAAGGTTGAAGGCAGGTATGAAAGCCCAGACCTTCATCTTTCTACTCACCCCCATCCTAAAACTACTTTGTTGCTGCCAGCCACCAGCTTGTTCACTTGCATACAAAAATAGGTTTACCACTTTGAAGAGTCCCAGGACATTAGGATTTATGCTGGGAAGACCAAATAGGTATTTCACAAGTGGTTACCACAGCATTCTATGGGTTATTAAGGAAGTTATATTTTCCCAATGGTGGAAAATGTATTACAGTTGAAGTGGAATGGCTGAAAATCTCAAGTCACAAGTGGATTAGTGAGCCTTTTTTTATCCTGTGTAAGGAATTGTTTCTTTCCTATAACACCTCCATGGTAACAAATTTGATCTTAAAACATTACTGGTAAACATGATCCTTCATAATAAAATGACTCCAGGTAGAAGCTGAAAGCTTCGATGTTAATAATATATCTTACTCATAATATATTTATGAGAATAAAGTTCTGAATAATTAAAATGAAACAAAAAAAATTCTGAACACAGGAATCCCCTCTGTATGTATGCCTCTCATACTGGAAATGCAGTCGTCTCCTTACTCTTTACTTTGTTTCCTGAAGGTTAGAGGTTTCTGCGTGGTTATCTGCAGTTGACATGATTGCCTAGCACCTGAAGACAGTTCAAGCCATGCCACATGTACATGTTTTCTTCCAGTCTTTATGTAGCAGAATATGGAACATAAAGTAGTGCTCAGGGGATGCTTGAGTGAACACTTGTTGTCAGGCTCAGATGTGCACTTCTGGTTCAACAGGAGGGAAGAGAACAACTTTGAAAGAGATCCAATTCCTCCTGAGCCTCCTGCCAAGAGAGTGTGTACCATCAGTCCTGCTCCCCGGCACAGTCCTGCCCTCTCTGTGCCACTTATGAACCCTGGGGGCCAGTTCCATCCGACTCCTCCTCCTCTGCAACACTACACCTTAGAGGATATTGCAACTTCACACCTGTACCGAGAACCCAGTAAGATGCTGGAGCATCGAGAAGTTCGTGAACGGCACCACAATCTTAGTAAGTGATGTTCGCAGCATGGCAACGCTTTAAATTCAGGCTGAATGCTTGGATTTCCTTCCTGTTTCATGAAAAATTAAATAACAGCATCATTGTTTTTTCCCTATTGATGAGATCAAACAATATTACATGTAAAAATAAATGTTAGATGAGATGGAAACTGAACAAATTTGGCAGTTATTATGGTACAGCAGGTAAAGCTGTCATTTGGAATACCCATATCAGAACAAGTGGGATCAAATCCCACCTCTGTCTCTCCTTCTGCTTCCTAACCAGCTTCCTGTCAATGCACCTGGGAGGTAGGCAGCAAATGTTTGGATTCTAGTACTGAGTTGCTGCCACCCACAGGAAAGACCCCTATGGGATCCTTGCTCCTGGCTTTAGCCTGGCCCAAAGTGGCTGTTTGGGGCATTTGAGGGGTTGAACCAATGAATGGAAGATCTCTCCTTCTGCCTTTCAAATGACTGAATGACTGTTTTGTTTATTTTAATATATATACTTTTAAAAAAACCACAAATTTTAGAAATTATGAAGGCTTTAAAAAGTTCATGGAGAGGCAGGCACTTGACTTAACCAGGTGAGACATACTTGTATTGTATCAGAGTGCCTAAGACCCTAAGAGGCAGTGGTAATGGCTCACGTAGTTGCGGCCCTGCCGCTGAAGTGGGAGTCTTGGATTGGTTCCTGGCTTTAACCCTGGTGTGAACCAATTCATGGATCTCTCTGTCTCACTATCTCTCAAAACAAAACAAAAATTTAAAGATTTATTTATTTGAAAGGCAGAGGTACAGAAAGAGGGGTCTTCCATTTGCCGATTCACTTCCCAAATGGCCACAATGGCCAGTGCTGGTCCACACCAAAGCCAGGAGCCAGACTATCTAGACTTGGATTCCCAGCTTTCCTGTTTCACTGATTATATGACTAACTATTAAATGCTACAAAAGCAGCTTCTTAGAGACGACTTGTAGTACTTAGATTAGGGACTGGTATTTAGTAGGAAATACTAAATAATTGCTGATTGTCTCACAATTGTTTTGAGGCATAAAGCAGAGAAATATATATTATTTAAATATATGTATATACACACACACGTGTGTGTGTGTGTGTGTGTGTGTGTGTGTGATTTATATATGTATTGAGCAGAGGCAGAGGGAGAGGTGGTTCACTCTCCAGATGGCTACAACGACCAATCCGGAGCCAGGAGCTGCTTCTTGGTTTCCCATGTGGGTTCAGGGGCACAAGGCCTTGGGCCATCTTCCATAGCAGAGAGCTGAATTGGAAGTGGAGCAGCCGGGTTTCGAACTGGCGGCCATATGGGATGCATCTGTCAGCGGCCCCTGCCACCCATATGGGAGACCCAAATGGAGTTCCTGGCTCCAACCTGGCCCAGTCCTGGTTTTTGCAGCCATTTGGTGAGTAATCAAGCAGATGGAAGGTCAGTCAGTCATTCTCACTCATTCACCTGCCTTTCAAATAAATAAATAAATCATTAATAAAAGAAAACATTGGTAATAATCAGCTGTGCAAGTAGTTGTACCAGTACACACCCACACTCTAGTTTTGATTGTGGAGCATTGGCCTTGCCCCACATCCTCCACTGCCTTCCCAGGCCAGAGCAGAGAGTTGGACTTGAAGAGGTGCAACCGGGACTAGAACTGGTGCCCATATGGGATACCAGCGCCACGGGCAGTGGATTAACCTGGTGCACCACAGCGGCGGCCCTAGCAGTTCAGTTATATTCTTCCTGCTATCTTTAATCTCTTAATTTCTGATAGGTCTAAATGGAGGCTATCAAGATGAATTGGTGGATCACCGCCTGACAGAAAGGGAATGGGCTGATGAATGGAAGCACCTTGACCACGTAAGAACCTCACAGATGCTGATTTCCCTCTTTATTACTTGTAACAGTAACTAGAGCATGTAAGCTTGAAATGAGTATAGCCAGAGCTGAGGCATCTTTTGCTTATAATAGAAACTGAAGTATCTACCATTCCCAGAGCCTCAGAGGCACTCCCAACTTTTATTTTGGTGGCATGATCACTTCATGTCATCAACCAAGGAAAGTCATGAATTGTGATGGTTAGAAACAAAGGTTTGTGACTTTAGGTCTGAACTTTGCCACTTCCTGTCTTTGTGAGGTTGGCAAATTGCTTCACCTCTTTCAGCATGAATATAGAAATACGCACATAGCAACCTTTCTTTCCTGAGTGATAATTGTTCCTAGTCTATATTTCTTTGATTGTATTATTACAAAATTTGCAGCTTTATCAGCTGCTGTAGTGATATTTAGACAGATTTACCATGGCTTTATAAGACTGTTTTATAGAGATCATGTCATTGCTGCAACCTTGACTCTAGAAAGCATTATCTTGAGAGCTTAAGAAATGAATAATTAAATTTTGTATATGTTTAAATATATGTGTTTTAAAAGAAACTGTAAAGTTGCGTCCCTAAGCCTATAAAATTCTTGAACCTGCATCCTTAGTTTGTGTTTCCCTATACTTGATGTTTAGTGTTCATTGTTTGAATTTCCTTACCCACTATCTGCCTGACTTGCCCTGTTCAGGCACTGAATTGCATTATGGAAATGGTAGAGAAAACAAGGCGCTCCATGGCGGTTCTGCGGCGCTGTCAGGAATCTGACCGTGAAGAACTCAACTACTGGAAAAGACGGTACAATGAAAACACAGAGATGAGGAAAACGGGCACAGAATTGGTCTCCAGGCAGCACAGCCCTGGGAGCACAGATTCTCTCAACAATGGTAAGAGGGTGGTCTTGAAGGAGGCACACATGAAACATCAGTCTTTGTATTCTACCTGATAACAGCAAGGAGGGGTCTTTCTATTTTAATTACAAGGAAGATGGTGCTAGATTATGGAGTTCCGGAAGGCCCCTATGTGATGAATGTACTCAGTACTCTCATGTCATCACTTTTATCCTTCACAGTATGCCTAAACGTGGTCACCTCCTCTTTTTCCCATCCAGGAAAATAACACAGTTCAACCACATGCTGGTGGCATGATACAATAGGTTTTGCTGTACCAAGCTGATCATCCCAGCTATCCTCCTCCCGGCCTGTAGCAACAGAGACATGAGCAGCTACTCTCTGAAACCAGGATACTTCAAGGAAGCCACAACAATTCTCACAGAAATGGCTCACATTTACCCAGCAACAATACCCTATCCAAAGGCAAAACTGAGTGTGCCTCTACTGTCATCTACTGTCAGACTCTTCCCTACCCACCCACTTAAAGTTCCCAAATGTTTACCAGGCAGACTTAGCATGTTCCATAGAAGATGGCTGCTATTAAGACTGCGAGAAAAAACTAAGCAAAGCCAGAGTTAATGTAGTGTGTACAGAGCCGGCGCCGTGGCTCAATAGGCTAATCCTCCACCTTGCGGCGCCGGCACACCGGGTTCTAGTCCCGGTTGGGGCGCCGGATTCTGTCCCGGTTGCCCCTCTTCCAGGCCAGCTCTCTGCTATGGCCAGGGAGTGCAGTGGAGGATGGCCCAGGTGCTTGGGCCCTGCACCCCATGGGAGACCAGGAAAAGCACCTGGCTCCTGGCTCCTGCCAGGATCAGTGCGGTGCGCCGGCTGCAGCGGTGGCCATTGGAGGGTGAACCAGCGGCAAAAGGAAGACCTTTCTCTCTCTGTCTCTCTCTCTCACTGTCCACTCTGCCTGTCAAAAAAAAAAAAAAAAAAAAAAAAAAAAAAAAGTAGTGTGTACAGATACTGGTAGTCAACTGTTTGTGTGCACTATATTAACAGTGCATTAACCCACCCACAGATGGAGCTCTTGAGCCAACTACAGGTTGTTAGAGTTGCACAGTTCCTTTTATGAACACTTCCTAAGCAGACAAAGCAGATCTTCAGGTGTCCCTCACCATCCGAGCCTTGTAGACATTTCCTGTAACTACCTAGAATCTAAAGGTCACCATTGCTGGTGAGTGCCTGTGTGTAGGTGCAGACAGCAGAGGCTGAATGGGCTGCAGACATGAGCCCTTCTCTGGCCCAGATTGTGGACTTGCTGGTGTCTAATTTGAACCTTTGTGTGCCCACGCTCCACTTTTCTCCTCCTCTGCTTAAAGCTTTAGCTTCTGTGATTCTCTTGGGAAAGTCCAACCAAGTTTATGCCTGTGTCTTGTCATAATTATTATTAGTTCCTCCCTCACTCTCAAAAATGAAGACAACAAAGATGATAAATTATATTGTCATTCTCAGTTTAGCTGGAAAAGCTAAACTGAACCTTCTGTGAGTCTTCTGAGGGTGTAAAATAAAACACTATTTATTGGTATATATTATAAATTTATGTATATACACATTTATCTTATGTTCATTGCTCTCATGGTACATGTTTGTTATAGGGTATAGGAATAACGTGATTTCTATCCAACATGCTATTCAGAATGTGAACCCAGATATGAGGAGCTGTTACCAGGATGTGCTTATATCCATGGATTTCAAATTCTTTTGAATTAAACTTATTTAATTCCATTCTCACAAACTGTTTGCAGCACCCCTGTATTGATTTTTTAAAATATTTATTTATTTGAGAGGCAGAATTACAGAGAGGGAGAGATGAGAGGTCTTATATCCCCCAGTTTACTCCCCAAATGGCATTCTCACAAACTGTTTGCAGCACCCCCGTATTGATTTTTTAAAATATTTATTTATTTGAGAGGCAGAATTACAGAGAGGGAGAGATGAGAGGTCTTACATCCCCCAGTTTACTCCCCAAATGGCCACAACAACCAGAGCTGGGCCTCCCCAAAACCAGAATCCAAGAGTTCCTTCCGGGTCTCCCACACGGTGGCAGGGGCCCAAGCACTTGGGCCACCTCCAGTGCTCTCGAAGGGCATTAGCAGGGAGCGTGATTGGAAGTGGTGCATGTGGGACACAAGCTGGCACCAGTGTGGGATGCTGACACCACAGCCAGAGGTTTAACCTACCACGCCACGTGGCCAGCCCATATGTTGGTATTTAAAGATGCGTGAAGAAATTAAAACTATAAGGAAAAGCAAGAATACCACAGAAGACAGGAGAATGGTTCCCCCTGGTTTGGCAAGTACAGCATTAGAGAGTTCTAGCTGCAGGTCTGGATAGCATCATTTATTTCTTTCTTCATTTTTATTAATTTGAAAAGCAAAGAATAAGAGATCTCCCATCCGCTAGTTCACTTCCCAAATGTCTGCAACAGCCAGGGCTAGGTCAGACCAAAACAGGGAGCCAAAGCCAAAAACAGAATTCAATCAGATCACCTTAGTGAATGGCAAGGACCCAACCCTGTGAGCCACTGTCACCTGCTACTCCCAGGGTGCATATTAACAGGTAGGAAGCTAGATTCAGCAGCAGAGCCAGGATGCAAACCCAAGCACTCGGATATGAAATGTGGGCATCCTATGCAGTGTTTTCTTTTTCTTTTTCTTTTTTTTTTTTTTTTTTTTTTTTATTTATTTATTTGAAAGGTAGTGTTACAGAGAGAGAGAAGTCTTCCATCCCCTGGTTCACTCCCCAAATTGCTTCAATAGCCAGTGCTGGGCCAAGCTAAAGCCAGGAGCCAGGAGCTTCTTCTAGGTCTCCCACATGGGCGCAGGGGCCCAACACCTAAACCATCCCCATCCCAGCAGCAGAGGATGGGTCATGTGCCTGTGCCCCCTCACCCACGTGGTACACCCAGAAGAAGCTCCTGGCTTCAGCCCAGCCCAGCCCCGTTTATTGTAGCAATTTGGGGAGTGAACCAGTGAATGGAAGACCTCTCTGTCTGTCTCTGCCTCTCTTTAACTCTGCCTTTCAAATAAATAAAATTAATTAATTGTAAAAAGAAGAAGAAATGGAGCAGCCAGGATTCAAACCAGCATCCATAAGGGATGCCAGCATTGCAGGTGGTGACTTAACCTGTTGCACCACAACACTGACTCCACAATAAGAAAATTAGAAGTCACCCAGCTCATGAGCAAGCACTCACGTAGATTGTTGTCATAATTGCAAAAAGTAGAGCAGTAGTGGACTGAATTAGTCTACTGAGTAAACTACCCAGCAAAAGAAACAGACTTTTTTCATCAGTTACCATAATTGAAAGTTAGAAGGCAGGGTTGTTTTAAAAAGATTTATTTCTGGTCTAGGGCTGTGGCACATAGTAGGCTAAGCCTCCATCTACGGCTCTGGAGTCCCATGTGGGCACCAGTACATGTCCTGGCTGCTGCTCTTCTGGTCCAGCTCTCTGCTGATTCCTGGGAAGGCAGTTGAAGATGACCCAAGTGCTTGGGCCGCTGTGCCCTTGTGGGAAACCTGGAAGGAGTTCATGGCTCCTGGCTTCTGATTGACTCAACTCCAGGTACTGCAGCCATCTCAGAAGCGAACCAGTGGATGGAAGACCTTTCTTTCTGTTTCTCCCTCTCTCTCTCAGTGGCTCTGCCTCTCTGCAGTGGCTGGGACTCAGCCAGACCATACCCAGAAGCCAGGAGCTTCACTCAGGTTTCCAGTGTGGGTGGCAAAGGCCCAAGCACTTGAGTCATCTTCTGCTTTTTATTTTTTTTTTCTTTTTTAAGTTTTTTTTTTTAATTAATTTATTTGACAGGTAGAGTTACAGACAGAGAGAGACAGAGAGAAAGGTCTTCCCTTCCGTTAGTTCACTCCCCAAATGGCCGCCATAGCTGGCACTGCTAGGAGCCAGGTGCTTCTTCCCATGTGGGTGCAGGGGCCCAAGCACTTGGGCCATCCTCCACTGCCCTTCCGGGCACATCTGCTGCTTTTTTAAAAACTTTATGAATTTACTTGAAAAGCAAAGTTACAGAGAGAGGTTCTGCTGGTTTACTTCCCAAAAGGATGCAATGGCTGGGTCAAGCCAAAGCGAGGGCCAGGATCTTTCCTCCAATCTCCTGCATGGATGCAGGGGCTCAAGCACTTGGGCCATCTTCCACTGCTTTCTCAGGTGCATTAGCAAGGATCTGGATCAGAGGTAGAGCAGCTGGGACTTGAACTGGCACCCTTATGGCCTGCTGGCACCACAGACGGCTTAACCCACTGTGCCATAGTGCTGGCCCTTACCAAATCAGTTTTTTAGAACATGCAAGAAGCAAATCCCTGAGATAATGGTAGAAAGCCCCAGCAACAGTGCAGAGGTGGCCTAGAAAGCATCCAGGGTACACTGGACTGGCCCAGATCTTGCAGATTTTAGTAAATAGCAGTAGAGGATGGCCCAAGTGTTTGGGCGCCTGCACCCACATGGGAGACCAGGAAGAAGCACCTGGCTCCTGGCTTCGGATCAGTGTAGCTCTGGCCGTAGCAGCCATTTGGGGGGTGACCCAACAGAAGGAAAACCTTTCTATCTCTCTCACTGTCTAACTATCTGTCAAACAAAAATAATAATAATTAATAGCACGAGCCAGCATCACAAATGGGCACTGGTTCTAGTCTCGGCTGCTCCTCTTCCAATCCAGCTCTCTGCTCTGGCCTGAGATAGCAGTAGAAGATGGCCCAAGTGCTTGGGCCCCTATAAAAAGTTCAAGCAAAACAAAACATGAAAGTAATGTGTGAAATCCTGTTCCCACTCTCCACTATGGGCTCCTATTTAAAGATAATTTTTCCCACTTTTGTATTTTGAGCTTTTTTGAACATATAGAAATGTTGAAAGAGCAGCACGTGCCCTTCACCTGGGTTTGCCTGTTCTTTATGTTTTTCCACATTTACTTTCCTCTGCAGATGGCTAGGAAGGTTGGTGCAGTCTCCCTCAGCCACTGTGATGCTCACCCTTAAGTGCTTCCTCCAAGAATTAAGAATTCCCCTGCATGACCCCTATACCATTAGTCCTCCCATTTCTGACCCCTTTGATTTGGTTGTAATCACTTCTGAGAGTTTCCACACTGATCCAGCTGAAAGGTCTAAATTATGTCTCTTTTGGTGTTAGAGATATAAAAACAAGAATTCTAGCTTTTGGAAAAACACAGAAAATATCCTTAACCCCAGGCCATCCTGAGTAAGGTGAGGCTTTCAGTGCATCTCCCCTCACACTTGGTACATGTGGAGGACATGCACAGGGCATATGAAGACAAAGTGTGATGGCTTTGTCCTGGCTGGTCCAGGCTTCCCCAAGTGCTCATGAGTAAGCAGATGTTTATTCTGCCATTGATTGCCAGGTGGTGGCTTATCAACATACTCAGACTCTTTCTCTTCTCTTTTTTAAGCCTCAGTTGAAATTAGCCTGCTGCTTAGGTTGTGTTCTTTTAGCTATTCTAGCCCTACGTCTTTCCCTGTATTTATTTCATGAATCTCACCACACTTAACATTTCTAAATGGTTGACAGGTAGCCACATAAATCAGGAACCTTATCTGTTTTCCCCATGTTGGCCATAGTGGTGGCCCTTCCTGGACTGCAAAGACTCATGTAAAGGACATCTGCCATCAAATGTTAAGTTCACTACGCTGTCCATGGGTCTGTTTTGTGGTTATAAAAACGTTCTGGAGCTCGGTAGTGGTAATGGTTGCAACACTACTGTGAATGTACTGCTATTGAGCTATATATTTTAAAATGATACATTTTATATGTATTTGATACAATTTTTAAATTGATTTTTAAGGAATACAAATTTCCTAAGTGCAATTTGAGGAATATAGTTATTCTTCCCACCATATCAGCCCTCCCAGCCATACTCCCACCCCTTCTCCTCCTCCCTCTCCCCTTGCCAGTCCTATTTTCCATTAAGATTCACTTTCAGTTAACTTTTCACTCAGAAGACCAATTCTATACTAAGTAAAGATTTCAGCAATTTGCACACACACACAAACTGTTTGAGAACGGATTTTACAGTTAACTCTCATAATATAACTCATCAAGGACAGAAGTTCTGCATGGAGAGTGATTCCTGTTATTAATTAATTTAACAATTAACACTCTATGTATGACTTCAGTGACCACCCGAGGCTCTTGAAATGAGCTGCCTAGGCTGTAGAAGCCTTTTGAGTCTACGAACTCCATCAGTATTTGGAAAGGCCATAAGCAAAGTAGAAATTCTCTCCCCCCTTTAGAGAAAAGTACATTCTTCTTTGATGGCCACTTCTGGGATCTCACTCACAGAGATCCTTCATGTAGAACATGAAAGCCACACTATCTTGGCTTTCCATGCCTGAAATGCTCTCATGTGCTTTTCAGCCAGACCAGTAAGCCTTAAGGGCTGATTCTGAGGTCAAAATATTACTTAAAGTGATTGTCATTATATGAGTCTGTTGTGTGGACCACTTCCCATGTTGAAACATTCTCTCCTTTTTAATTCTATCTATTATTACCAGGCACTTGATACTATTTATATGATCCCTTTAACACTCAATCTTATCTATATATTCACTTTAGCACTTAATACCACCAAGCTTAATGGGATTTGGAATCCCATGACAAGTTTTTAAACTGTACTCCCTTAGAAGTAAGTCAGTAAGAGTGTCTGCAGAACTATACAGTTTTATAGTTACAAACTTATTCCTCCCTCTCTTATTCCCACTCTTATTTTTTACTGGTATCTATTTTCAGTTGACTTTATACACATAGGATTAACTCTGTGTCAAGTAAAGAGTTCAACAAATAGTGTGAAGAAAAAAAAACTTTCTTGACAGTCAAGACAAGGGCAGCTCAAGTCATCCCTTCTCTAAGTGTCAATTTCACTTCTACAGATTTCCTTATAGGTACTCTATTTGTTCTCACAGATCAGGAACATATGATATTTGTCCCTTTGGGATTGGCTTATTTCACAAAGTCTCATGTTTTTCAGATTCATACATTTTGTTGCAAATGACCGGATTCCTTCCTTCCTTCTTTCCTTCCTTCCTTCCTTCCCTTTTTTCCCTTTTTTCCATAATTTTACCCATTTACATTCCCACCAACAACACTGGATCAGGGTACCTTTTTCCCCACATTCTCGCCGATATTTGTTGTTTGTTGATTTCTGCATGAAAGCCATTCTAACTGGGTTGAAGTTAAACCTCATTGTGGTTTTGAATTGCGATTCCCTGACAGCTAGTGATCCTGAACATTTTTTCATGTGTCTGTTGGCCATTTGGATTTCCTCTTTTGAAAAATGTCTATTTAGGTCCTTTGCCCATCTCTTAACTGGGTTGTTTGTTTTGTTGTTGTGGAGTGATACACTCTTTTAAAACCCAATACTATTAGGTATCGTTTATTCAACTGAAAGGCAGTGGAGGTGAGAATCAGAGAGAAAGCCTCCATCCAGTGGTTCACTCTCCAAATGCCTACAATAGCCAGAGCTAGACCAGAACTAAGTTGGGAGCCAGGAAGTCAATCCTTGTCTCCCACTTTGATAGCACGAACCCAATTGCTTGTACTGTCATCATTGCCTCCCAGGATCTGCAGGAAGGCTACCAGGAGGCTAGGGTCAGGTGTCAGAGGCAGGTGTCACACCCAGGCACTCAGATAGCTTTACTGTAGGTCCAAACGTCTGCCCCTGAAGAAACTCAAGAAACCACCTTAAGTCACATACAGGGCTTAAGAGTTGCCAGGAAGCAAAAATTATATTTCCCACCTGTGTGTGCTGAGAACATGCACATACATACATACGTGTACATAAATATCTGTGAGCTTAGATTTGGGGGAGGGCCTTAATAACATATACATGTTTAGGGACAAAATTATGTCTGGATAAGGTAAAAGTAGGAAGCGAAGACCACTTAACCTTACTGCTTCCAAATATTAGTGCTTGATGCATGCGTTTTAGCCTTTATGAGAGTGTTTTGTCACACTAAGTGAACATACACGCTGGAATCTTTAAGTGGTGAGTGAGATTGTTGCAGAAGGAACAGGCATTTGATGATGAAGTTAAGGCACAAGTTGGTTTGCCTGTCCCACACTGGAGTGCCTGGGTTTGAGTCCTGGCTCTGCTTCTGATTCCAGCTTCCTGTTCATGCGTACCCTAAGAAGCAACAGGTGGTGGCTCAAGAACTTGGGTCCCTGCCACCGGCAAGGAAGATTTGGATTGATTCTGGGCTCCTGGCTTCAACCCAACCCTGCCCCAGTTGTTGCAGGCATTTGGGGAGTGAACCAGTGGATGGAAGATCTCTCTCTTTGTGTCTCTCTCCCATTCAAATAAAAATTAAATTTACACAATTGCCATGTCAGTTAAAATGGATTTTTAGGCCGGCGCCGCGGCTCAATAGGCTAATCCTCCTCCTGCAGCGCTGGCACACCAGGTTCTAGTCCCAGTCAGGGCGCTGGATTCTGTCCCGGTTGCCCCTCTTCCAGGCCAGCTCTCTGCTGTGGCCTGGGAGTGCAGTGGAGGATGGCCCAAGTGTTTGGGCCCTGCACCCCATGGGAGACTAGAATATGCACCTGGCTCATGCCTTTGGATCAGTGCGGTGCGCCGGCCGTGGCAGCCATTGGAGGGTGAACCAATGGCAAAAGGAAGACCTTTCTCAGTGTCTCTCACTCTGCCTGTCCAAAAAAAAAAAAGGATCTTTAAAAAATTGTTGCATAGGGGGCTTGTGTTGTGGTACAGTGTGATAAGTCACAGCCTATGATACCGGCATCCCATATGGGTGCCCATTCAAGTCCCAGCTGCTCCCCTTTCAGTCCAGCTCCCTGTTAATATACCTGAGAAAGCAGTGGGGGTAGCTGAGTCCTTGGCTTCCTGCATTCATACGAGAGACCTGGAAGAAGCTCCTGGCTCCTGGCTTTGGCCTGGCCCAGCCCTGGTTATTGCTGCCATTTGGGGAATGAACCAACAGGTGAAAGACCTCTTTCTTTCCTTCTCTTTGTAACTCTGCTTTCAAATAAATAATCTTTTCTTAAAAATATATGTTGCATAAAATAAACCTGATCTCAGGCGGCATCTGACAGTGCGCTCCTTTTCTCTCCTGCAGATTCTCAGCGGGAATTCAGCAGCAGGCCGGGAACAGGTTACGTACCGGTGGAGTTTTGGAAAAAAACGGGTATGTGTCTGCTCGTGGGTGGGGAACACTCACTCGTATGCACGATTGGAGAGCACAGATTGGGAGAGGGGTGGTAGCCACATCTGTGTCTCATAACTTGCTCCTGACAGCTCCAGGCTCCTGCGGCTCCTCCTCTCACTTGCCCCACACACCTCCTGGACACCTGTCCTGTTGCTGGACAGGCCAGGAGCTTGCAGCAGCTCCCTCCGGTTCATACTGATGCAGGAGGCGACCAGCTCCTCTTTGCCTGTTTGATCTGTGCTGTTTTTGGGCCATTAGCTAAATTCACCTCTGCCTGAGCTCCTTACTTTGGACCTGTGCACACTGTGCTCACACTGCTGCCACGGCTGCTGAGGTCTGCTCGAGGTGCAGCTCTCACACCCCTTGGTTCTTCCTTCCACTGCCACTCTCCGGCTTAGCCGTGACCGCCCTTGGTAGATTGACTGACTTCAGGAATAGAGAAGAGTGGTGACCGACTATTCTGGCAGAATAGGAAATGGAGGGAACAAAAAAAAACCTCACATCACTCTTCCTCTGCAAACACCAGCTTCCTTTCTTCCTAGCTCACATTCATTCAGCTTTGAGCAAATTACGCTCTGAGAAATACAAATACAAATATTTCTTCATTGGGAGTTAAGCATTACCACTTTGCTATGGTGCCATCTGTTACCTTAGGTGATATCCAGTAAGATAGTTTCCAAACTGATTCTTGCTGCTTCCTGCTTAAACTGAGAGGATAGAAATTACCTGAGAGCATGGTTATTGTGGTTATTGGCTTGCTCACAGGCATTTAACACCTTCTTGATGGCCACAGAGCAGCCCATGGAAGATGGTTCCAGTGGTCTGCGGTGGGTCTGTGTGGGCATTGGGTAGGGAAGCCTGGAATCCTTAGCCTCTGGAGCAGTGAGAGGGGCAGTGCTGACTCAGGGTCCTGGAACCTGCCTGGAACCTCTGAGCCCAGCTCATGTGACGAGCTGAGCTGTTGGGGAGTTCATGAGGCTTCTGGGCTGGCCAGTCCTGTGGGTTTATGTGAGAGGCCGTGCACGTTCTCACTGGGCTGAGGTTCACTGAGCTGCATAGAGCATGCTATTTGGAGTCTCCCCTCCAGGGAGACCACATGAGGTGGTAGCCATGGATGGGCAGGAGTGATCAGGAGCTAGCTGGCGGAATTGTGACCACAGGGATTAGAAATCTGACTCTGCTAGCTGCCTACATTGTGTCTTCAGCTCCTAATTCTCCACTGAGTTTAGTCTCAGGTTGCTTCCTGCCCATGGTCACAGGTACCTGCATGACCTGGAGGTATCGCTGCCTTCTGCCGGGTGTCCCTGCCAGCCCTTGTGTCCTCGTGTCGCCAAGGTCCATGCATGGTTCTGCTCTTCTCTAGCCCCTCCACAGCAGACCCATCGGTGCTAGCCGCATCCTCCTGGTTTATCCCCTTCTTGGTGCCACCTGCTCCTGCTGAGTCCAGAGTCCTGGCATGCAGGGCTTTCCAGACCTCCACACACCATCGCTTCGTACATGTTTCCTGATCCCTCCCCGGCCCTCCATAGGGGACCACTTTTCTCCTTGGCACTCTTGTCTCGGTGTTGGAGTTTAGGTGGTGGCACCTAAAGCACTGTTACGCTTGCTCAGTCACAGGTGCACAGACGATGTCCAGTCGCCTGTACAGCTCCAGCCAGCACAGTGCCCAGCCTGCCGCACTCCACAGATGGTTGAGTGAATGAACACGTGATCCTGTGCGTTTCTAGGAAACGCATCTTTTTTCAGCTCTGACCCTTCTCAGAAAATCTGTGGGTTGGGAGGGAAAGGAGTTCTCGGCCAGTTGATTTTACTGTCACTTTCTTCTAGAAGAAGCTGTGAATAAGGTGAAGATTCAGGCCATGTCAGAAGTACAAAAGGCTGTCGCCGAGGCTGAGCAAAAAGCCTTTGAAGTGATTGCCACGGAGAGAGCCCGAATGGAGCAAACCATAGCGGATGTCAAGCGGCAGGCTGCGGAGGATGCGTTCCTGGTCATCAATGAGCAGGAAGAGTCCACCGAGGTCAGAGCTCAGGGGGCCGGGGGCTGGGGCTGGGGCCAGGGCAGCTGTGGGTGCTACACCCACGATTTTCCTCTCATGCGCTGGACAGTGAGAAGCAGTTCACTCCTGAACTAGCGGCTGCTTTCTATCCTGTCACTCTGGGACTATGCACACTGTCACTATGTAAGACTCATTATTGTTATATGTACTTGTGCGTGTGTGTGGGGTGTGTGTGTGTGTGTGTGTGTATTATACATTATATTATATATGTGCTCATTATGTTGGTTTGTTTTCAAATCTCACCCTAAAGACTGTGTGACTGCCTGAGAATGGTGTGCAGTGCTGAGTGGGTTACCACGTGCCAGGCAGCCAGCTCAGTGTGTGTTTTCTTGTTGTCACTGTGCTGTGGGGTGGGTACATCCTGCTGACTGACTGCTAGGAAGCAGCGACGTGGCGGGGGGACTTTACCTGTCGTGCAGCCTCAGTGGGGGAAGAGCATGCTGGGTCCTGTGGCACCTGGCCACAGGATACTCTTACGGTCAGAAGTGGCAGGGCAGGGAGACCTGGCCTAGGACTTCCTGTTGCCTCAGTACAGCAGACTTGTGCACCACAGTGAGCACAGAAATGATGAGACTTAAAGAAAAACGTGCGTGCAAAACATTGAGATAGTCCTGGAGAATTGAAGGACATTTTTCTGTACTTCAATTTTAGTTATCTTTCAGTTTTTAAAAACAAGAAATTATCCAGTTTTTATAAACAGGTATAGCTCTCTACGACATTCTCTTGAAATTAAGGAACTTACTTTTTTTTTTTTTTTTTTGAACAGAAATTGTATTTTCACAATGTTCAAATGGTCCATTTTCAGGAAAAAAAAAGGGGGTTACACAGAAAGAGAAGGAAAGGCAGGGGGGCAGGTCCTCCGTCTGCTGGTTCACTGCCCAGTTGGCCATAATAACTGGAGCTGCACTGATCTAAAACCAGGAGCCAAGAGCTTCTTCCTGGTCTACTGTGAGGGTGCAGGGGCTCAAGGACCTGGGCCATCTTCCACTGCTTTCCCAGGCCATAGCAAAGAGCTGGATCAGAAGTAGAGCAGCCAAGACACAGACCGACACCCATATGATCCGTTTTAAAATAGCAGTTCCACACGTGGCACTGTGAGGGAGCCTTTGCCTATGGCAGTGTGAGAATGCAAGTGGCCTTCAGAAATAGCACAGTTCTCAACTGTATCACACCAGCAAGGACACTGAAATGTGAGAAAGGAGGCCCCCCTCCTCCCGCTCAGCAAACCCCAACTGCTTTTTCTTTAGGGTTGTGTTTTTTTGTTTGTTTTCATAGGCTGATTTAGACAGTGAGACAGAGACAGAGAGAAAGGTATTCCTTCCGTTGGTTCACTCCCCAAAATGGCTGGTGCACTGCATTGATCCGAAGCCAGGAGCCAGGTGCTTCTTCTGGTCTCCCATGTGGGTGCAGGGCCCAAGCACTTGGGCCATCCTCCACTGCCTTCCCGGGCCACAGCAGGGAGCTGGATTGGAAGAGGAGCAACCAGGACAGAATCTGGCGCTCCAACTGGGACTAGTACCCGGGGTGGCGGCGCCGCAGGCAGAGGATTAGCCTAGTGAGCCACAGCACTGGCCAGGTTGAGCCGTGATGTTTGCTCAGGTCTGTGTTTGTCTTCAAGCTGCTCTCCAAAGAAGGAGTGTAGCCCTTGGCTTGGAGCATGAGTTCCAGACCTGGGCTGCATAGGGTTAGTTCCCAGCTCCATTTATAGGACTGTGCTTTTAGGGAAATACAACTTTAAATTATGCAGGAAGTGGCCTGAGGTGAGGTACACACCTGTCCCAGCAGACTCGCTTTCCCAAACAGGGATGGAACAGAGACTGCCTTGGGTGAGAGTACGCTGTACCAGCATGGCTGACTCCCTCCACAGCATCCACAAGATGTTCCTGGGAGCTCCACAGAGTTGAGAGGCCCTGTGTTAATGGGAAGGAGCCTAGTACTGGGGTTAGAACCTGAAGTTCTTCCAGTTTCCCCCTCAGTCTCTGTACAATGGGTATAACAGAGGCCGGCGCCGCAGCTCACTAGGCTAATCCTCCGCCTTGCGGCGCCGGCACACCGGGTTCTAGTCCCTGTCGGGGCGCCGGATTCTGTCCCGGTTGCCCCTCTTCCAGGCCAGCTCTCTGCTGTGGCCAGGGAGTGCAGTGGAGGGTGGCCCAAGTGCTTGGGCCCTGTACCCCATGGGAGACCAGGAGAAGCACCTGGCTCCTGCCTTCGGATCAGCACAGTGCACCGGCCACACCGCGATGGCCATTGAAGGGTGAACCAACGGCAAAGGAAGACCTTTCTCTCTGTCTCTCTCTCTCACTGTCCACTCTGCCTGTCAAAAAAAATAAAAATAAATAAATAAATAAATGGGTATAACAGCCCCTCTCCTGTTGATCTGATAGTTCGTGGGGAGATGAGGTGAACTCATGGTTGTGGAAGTGCTCTTACACTGCAGTGCACTGTTGTCAACCACTTCCAGCCTGGCGCAGGGCCCAGTCACACAGAGCAGCCACTTCTCTGAAGAAATGGCTCCATCCAAAGGGGTGGAGGGAAAACGTGAGAGCCCCTTAGCTTGGCCACATAGGACTCTCTGTCCACAGCTTGGTTTTCTTGGCAAATACAACAGCCCAGCAATTGACAGTGACATATGGGGAGGTTTACAAAAAGGTCAGAGACCTGGGCTGGGTCACAGTGAGTTTGACAAGCTTCAGGTGCTCTCCAGGTGGGCCCTGGGCCACACTTGGAAGAACATTGGCATAAACAGATGACCCCTGCTGGCCACGGGAAACTTCGCAGTCGTCTCTCTGACTTGTGGCCAGGAGCTCTATTAACTTGGCCACGTCTAATGTTCCAGCTGCGGAGACACTGCTTTGAAGGGTGACTGCAGTGATAAACACTTGTCTTATCTTGCCCAGAAAACCCACGGAAGTCAGGGAGAAGCCAAAGACGGCAAGCAGAGGCCTTCTTGTCGCCCTGGTTGTGCTGGTGCGAGTGCACTGGTCGTGCCCTGCGGGAGGCTGTTCATTTGTTTTAGTGTATTTTCTAAATCATGGAATAAGCTCCTGCTCGGGGTTTAATGCCCAGACCCATTTCTGGGATGCCACACAGCCTGGAGAGGAGAGGGGCTCCATGGTGCTGGTGGCAGCCCTGCGTGGGCAGCGGCCGAGTTCCTCCCCACCAGCCCCGCCCACAGCCTCGTTTACAGGCAGCCTGGCAGACTCCAGAGCATGAAATTGTCAGCAAAGCGGTTTGCTTGCAGACTATTCATGGAACCCGAGTCACTTTTGTTTCCTTTTTGGTCCTCCGATGTTGGTTGGGTCAATTTGTGCCAATCCCCAGAGTGTGTTTCCTGAAATGCCTGTTGCATTGGGAATCTTGTCTCATGCTCTTGAATTTTTAAGCATGGGCACTGAGTTTTGGGGTGTCCAGAGGTCTGGGGCCCAGACTTTGCACAGCTGCTAAGCAAAGCTTTAAGCAAGTCCATCCCTGACTCTATTTCCCTTCTGAATAGCCCACAAAGTGGTGAGGTGGCCCCGATGCCTTCTTTAGTCCTGTGTTTTACAGAGGAACCCAGCACTCTGGCTCCCCTCAGTGGGGCTGCAGCCTGCCTCACAGCTGCTTCTGCCCCTGCAGAGTCCATGCGGGGTGGGAAGGAAAGACGAGGGGCAGCAGCAGCTGGTTGCTGGTTTCTTTTGACAGCTTCACGTGGTCAGTGCTCAAGGCGCTCCTCTTCCCAGTGGGTCCTGGAGACCTGGGGTGCAGAAACTCAGGGCTTACACGCTGATGGGAGCCTAATGGAGCTGTCGCGGTGGGGAGGGGCTGCATGCATGCACACGTGTCCTCTGTGTGCCTGGGACCTGGGACAGCTGTCTAAGCAGGGCCTTGCCCCTTTCCTCTGCTGGTTTCAGGGCTGTTCCTTGCAACTCACACCAAGCCTCCCCTGGCTCGGGTCTTCCACTGTATTAATTAGTGCGTCCTCCGTGGTACCCTCTCCTCTGGTGGTTTTGTCCAAGCTCTAGTAGCACTTGCTTCCCTCTAGGAAAGTACAAGAATCTGTTTAAAGGCCGGCGCCACAGCTCACTTGGCTAATCCTTTGCCTGCGGCGCCGCCACCCCAGCTTCTAGTCCCGGTTGGGGCGCCGGATTCTGTCCCGGTTGCCCCTCCTCCAGTCCAGCTCTCTGCTGTGGCCCGGGAAGGCAGTGGAGGATGGCCCAAGTGCTTGGGCCCTGCACCTGCGTGGGAGACCAGGAGAAACACCTGGCTACTGGCTTCAGATCAGCACAGCGCACCGGCCGTAGAGGCCATTTGTGGGGTGAACCAACGGAAGGAAGACCTTTCTCTCTCTCTGTCTCTCTCTGTCTAACTCTGCCTGTCAAAAAAAAAAAAAGAAAGAAAAAAAGAAAAAGAATCAGTTTAAAAACAAACAAAACTCCCTGACCTGGACTTCCAGGGTCCTGAGTTCTGAGTGGCCCTTCAAGCATGCCAAAAATATTCCTGTGCTCAGCCCATCCGTGCTGAGACACTGGTGAGAGGAAGCGAGGGCAGAGGGAAAATGGCAGCTGCCTCCACTCTGGTCCCCGTCCCGTTCCCTGACTGGAACATTTTGGAAATGATCCAGTTTTCCCAGTACTCCCTTAAAACACCGTTAAAAGTTCAGCACTGTTAGAAAGAAGGAAGAAAGGGAAACGGAGGCACCCCTCATCCATCAGGAGTTGCAAGAGCATATCCTGACATATCCCTGGGCGTGTGGTCTCTTAGTCGTTGGCTTGGGTGAGCCTGGAACAGTTTGATGCCTCAGGACTGAAATACCAGTGGGAAAGTGGAGTCTGTGGCTGAGGTGGGCCAGGCAGGCTCTTTTCACCCACTCCCCTCATCTCCCTGCCTACCATACACGCACACACCACACCCCAGCCCTCCCTGGTTGGTATTTTCCTGTTCTATAGATGAAAGACTCAGGGCAGGGGGCTGGGTGTCCCCCAGTTCAACAGATGGCAGCAGAGGTAGGACCAGCGGGCAGTAGTGGCGAGTGACTGGCCTGCCCCGCAGTCCCCGCCGCCACTAACCAATGCCGTGTCTTGCAGAACTGCTGGAACTGCGGCCGCAAAGCCAGCGAGACGTGCAGCGGCTGCAACATCGCGCGGTACTGTGGCTCTTTCTGCCAGCACAAGGACTGGGAGCGGCACCACCGCCTCTGCGGCCAGAGCCTGCACAGCCAGAGCCCCCACAGCCAGAGCCGGCAGCTGCTGCCCGGGGCCCGGGGCTCCTCGGCCCGCTCTGCTGACTGCAGCGTGCCCAGCCCGGCCCTGGACAAGACCTCGGCAACCACCTCGCGCTCCTCGACACCTGCCTCCGTGACAGCCATTGACAGCAATGGGCTCTGAGCCCCAGAGCCCGCCTGCCTGGTGGCCCTTGCGCCAGGCGTGGAGCTGTGGGGTCACCAGCAGGAGAAGATGAGGGAACAGGAACAAGTCCAAGCGTGGGGCAAGCACTCCCCACCCCTTGGGACTTGATGGGACGAGCGTGCCGTTGTAGCTGCACACAGGCAGCTGGCCCAAGCTGGCCTACACCTCCGTGGATTCCCCGATTCGTTCCTCCCCTGCCTGAAGTTGGCATAGCCAGCATGCCGTGTGGGCCACCAGCTCCCCCGCTCCTGAGTCTCAGACTGTCGGACGTGCTGGCCCAGCTGAGCTGGCGCAGCAGGCACGGAGGCGGCCCCTCGCCTCCCTTTCCACTGTTTGCAGGTGACACAGGTTGGCCTTCTGGGACCTGAGTAGGCAAAACATGGCCCTCGGGACGCCCTCCTCTGCCCTGCTTTGCAGACTTGACCGGAAACTCAGATGACAGGAAAGAAGTCACCATTTCAATAATGACACCCAAATAAAGAATGAGTACCTTTTCCCCAAGCACCACAGATGATTCTGGACAAGAGTTTGCCACCTGACTGGCCACTTTACCTTGGGACCTATTTTTTTCTCTCAGTTAATTTTGCTTGTGCCAAGTGCTGTTTCCAGTGCGTGAACCAGGCTCCGCGAGGAGACGCCTGCAGGAGCCTGCTGTCTCCGAGCATGTCGGCCACTAGCATCGCCAGATTCCCAAGCCCATCACCTTGGAAATTCAGATCCTCCCCCTCCGCCTGTCCTCTCGATCCGCTTCTCTTTACCTCCCAGACCTCGGGCATCGCCTGCCCTGGGGCCCTGCTTTGGTGGTCCTGCTGGACGAACTGCGGTGTCTGTAGGATGTGCCACACCCAGTCTCATCTACATGGCCCTACCGCACCTGAAAGATTCCTTCAGGCCTCACATTTCCGTGTCATTAGACCTACTGCAATGGCTTATTACCAGGCAAGCAGTCTCAGCTTCCTTCTCTTACGTTACCTGTTGGGTTCCTCCCCTCTTTGAACTCAGAAAGGTTTTGTGAAACACGAGAGCCATTACTGGAAAGCCTGATCAGTTCTTCTTCCTGTCTTCAAGGAGTGTCCCAGCTGCTTACCTGGCTGTCTGACAAACAGGATGCCTCCTATCTGTTCCCCTTCAGAGTCTCAGGGCCCAGAGCCCAAGGGCCCAGCACCCCTCTGCCCCGCGAGCCGCCAGCTCCGCACTCATGGTGACTTCTCAACAAGGATTTTCAGTCTTAGAAAGAAACTTGGAACAAGAACCTTCAGAATACCTAGGTTTCAAAATTTCATTGCATATAAAGTAAGCTATCCCCAGAGAGAGAACAGCAAAATAACAGTGTGTTCCTTCGCAGCGGGGCACGTGGACTCCGGGTGAACTCCAGCAGTTGATGAGGCAGCCTGACGAACAGGGCGGAGTCAGCCCCGCAGTGGGGCCCACCCACGTTGCCCTAAGACGCGGGGTGTCTCCCAGACATCTTGTGGAGCCCCGCGTTGGTACAGTGAGAGGGTGGCTTACAGGGGCTCTGCTCTCAGCCTAGACTTAACCTACGCAGGTTTTCCGTCTTGAGTAGCCACAAGACAGCCGGGGGAGCTCAGGCTTTAATGGATGGAATAAAGCGCCAGACACAACCCAGCAGTCGGTACCAGAGCCCAAGGTCAGCTTCTGCAGCTGCGGTCTGCGTGCAGCGTGCAGGTCTGGCGCTTGCCTGGGCAGCCATTCCAGCACGGTTTCGTGCCAGTCTACACAGCAGGGTGCTGGTCCGCACCATGATTCTGCTCTCAGAGCCTTTGCTGGGTTGATTCTGCCAGAGTTCACATAGACATCACAGGCCGTCTGTCCAAGACTTCCTCTTCTGATTTAAGAATCCTTTCCCCCGTTAGCTAGGGGGTCAAGAGGGAGTCCAGGTTCCCTGCTCGATATTTGGTTCCTGCTGACGCCACCCTAGGTTCCGGGTTGGAAATGGACACTCGGGCTCCCCCTCTGCCCCGAGGCCCAGCCTCTCCAGTTAGTGTTTGGTGGACAGGAAAGGCAAAGGCTGCCTCGTGGTCCAGGGAGTGTCAGGTCAGTCGCAGGCTTCCTGACGTTGGTCTGGAACCCAAAAGCAAACCTGACTGCCCGCCTGCTGCCATGTCTGCACACGATGCTGGGCTCACCGCCGCCTGCCGGGACCCTCCAGTCTTCTCCCAAGTGAGGGGTGACGGCAGGAATCAAAGGTGGCCAACGCGGGAGCTGTCTTCGCTCGTCCTCTGTTTTCCTGCGTGCCTGCACCTGCTCCCCAACAGTGGCCCCAGCTCTGCGGCCGACGCTCCAGCAGATGGTCAGGTGATGCACAGGGTGGGGTGGGGGTCTGTTCTTGGACCATTCCGAGCCAAGCTGTCGCTGTCCCCCAGGCTGTAGGTCCAGAAACAGGACACATCCACCCAGCACAGGCCCGCGCCGCCCTGCACAGGTGGACGTCTTTGCCCATCTGGGCCAGATGCTTACAAACAGACTGTGTACGTTTTGTCCCACGCTGTCCCAGCATTGACGTGGCCCCCAGTAGCTCTGTGAGGCGTCAGCAGCAGCCGCTCTGGCATCGTGCGGCGGTGGCGAGTGTTTCAGAACGAACGCCGGGAAAATGGCCAGTTGGCCACTTGTCCTGGAGTCCGCGGAAAGGATTATGGGTTGGAGAAACCATTGAAAATAGGACACCTCTCAGAGGCTTTCTTCAGAACTGGAGTAGAACCAAGGTTCCCAGCTGGGCTCCGGGTCAGTAACCACCGCCAACTTTCTTCGATGATTTTTAGCTGTTTGCAGAGAACCAGGTGGTGGCATGCTTGAACCAAATGTGAGGAAAGCCAGAAGGACCTGGGCTATTCTGACAAGGGCCAGATGGCGGCTGGCAGGAAGGAGAGCTGCCCGCCTTGGCCTGGGGCCTGGCCGAGCTGCTCAGGGGGGGCCTTCCACCCCTGGGTGTCTGTCCTCGAGAAACCAAAACGTCCCCTCCTGCCTCTGCCCACACGCGTGGACGTGCGCATTTCCAAAGACACCAGTGCAGTGACCTTTCCATCTCGGCCGGGGGTGGGGGTGGGGAGGCCCGAGGGCGGGCCTCGTGTCCCCCGCGTCGTCGTCCTTGGCTCCTGCACACCCCATCTGGTCAGGCCTACGGCTGCCCAGTGGATACTCGCTGATGCTTATACCAAATAGGGCATGTGTGGCTGGTGTCTGCTAGGGACAGCCCTGTCCCTGCCTTGGAGTTGGCAGACAAGCAGCTGGCAGAGCTGCTTGGCTAAGAGGCGTCCGGTCCACTTCCCGGGCTTTCCGGCTGCCCTGAAGAAAGCCTACAATGGACCTAGAGGGAGGCCTCCACGCGGTCTGCGAAGTGGCGGGGGGTGTCCAGCCCTGCAGGACGCGGCCGTCTGGGTTTTCTGTGCTTTGTCATTTTACTCTGATAGAACTTTCGTTACTCAGCTCTCTGCATAACTTATTTAATGTACTGTATAAACGAACCAAAACTGTTAAATATGTATTTAGTTTGTTCTACTTAAAGTAGTCAATAAAAGGCTATATTCCTTTTCTGCCTCTGCTGGGCTGGGCTGGGCGGGGGCACACACGCCGCATGCCGGCTGGCCACCTGTGTCCCTTCCTCGTGCCCACAGCGGTGCTCGTGGCCTGGGGCTGCTGTGACGGCGGCGATTCTGGGCACAGGAAGCTGCTGGGGCCTGGAGCCGGGCCTCTGCCCCGCCGCTCGTGCCCACCCTGGGGCCTGTGCTCGAGCACCAGCAACAGCCAGAACTCTAGCTGCGTGTCCATTTTACACTGATGTTAACTCCTGAGTGCTGTCCCTGCTGCCTTATTTGCATAATGGCTGGATGGTTTTCTGAACTCGCCTCCTGTTGGGCAGTCACGGCATGACTTAGGAAGTCAGCGTCTGCGGTGAACTTTCCAAAGTGGGGTTTCTGTTGCTGAACACTTCCGGCACCCTGGCACCATGTCCACATTGCTTTCCCAGTAGCCCCCAGCAGCCTCTGGGGAGTGCTGTCCATGGCCTTGTCGTGGGTGCAGACACGGGTGTGCACCCGTGTGGAGTCGCAGCCATCTGTGACGGGCTGGCTCCTGGGGCTGAGGCCTCACTCCTGTTACCTGCACCATCGTGGGCTCTGCCTGGAGCAGCCCTGCCTCAGAGACCTGTTGGGACCCCCAGCTTCCCAGGCCCCTAGAAGGCGAGAGAGGCCTGGCTCAGGTGTGGAGTAGGGAGCAGGGCTGACCTGTGCCCTGGCCCTGGAAGACAAGGAGGGCCTCCGTCTGCCGCTGGATGCAGGCCTCAGTCCTGGTCTGTGACGCTGCGCCCGCCCCGCTGAGCCAGCCCGACAGCACCGCGGCGCAGAAGCGGCACCGCACAGCTCTCAGGTGCCAGCTAAATTGTAATGAATGTTGGAGCTGCAGTGCTGAGGTCGCAGAGGACACACAGGAACTCCCTGAGGGCCAGGAAAAACGAAGCTGAAACCACAGAAGTAGCTGGGTACCGAGGAGGAAACCTGCAGAGGAATCCCAGGAACTTGGAGTTGGAATCCAGAGGCGAGTGGGCGAACCCCCGGGGCTCCCTCCCCGCAGGCGCAGGGCTTTGGCCTGGTAGAACCCACCTGTCTGAGCTGGGGCCCTCTGCGCCCCTGCTTGAGAAAAGGAATTGCCAGAGACTGGCCTTAGGTCTGCTCGCCCTCGGGGCTCAGAGGTGAAGATCATGCCGGGCTTGTAGCAGCTCCCGGGGTCTGGGAGAATACGCTCAGGCGCTCCCGGCTTCCCATGCGGCAGTATCCACCTTAGGATGAGCTGTCTGGGAAAGAGCATTCCAGGCACAGGCCACGGTGAGCCGGGTTAGCAGGAACAGAAATCAGCTGATGGGGGCTCCAGGCATGGGGGACCTCGGAGGGAAGTGCTGGAGGAGGAAGCAACTGGCAGAGCCGGGGCGTGGCAAGGCAAAAATGAAAACAGTCACTGGAATGCTCAGGGCGCCATTAGTCATCTAAAGATGACACGTGTTGCTGGGACTCCTTGTCACAACGAAAGCTGGAAAGTGGGAAAGGGCCATTCCTTCTGGGAGGTTGGCAGAGGGAGGGTGCAGGTGAAGCCATCGATGGGTGTCTCAGAAGGGGAAATAAATGATCAGGCTTGTCTCCACCCTGGTGTTTCAAGGGGACTGATGCTCCCAGCGTTCATCCCTCAGGAGATTGGGGAAACCCAGACAGCCCGCCAAGCCTGGGTCAGTGTCACTGCCTGGTGCTAGCGCCCTCTTGTGGACGGAGCGGGGCCTGCTGCTGTGGCCTTCCCCTGGTGCACCGTCTTTCTCTGCCCCGAGCGTTCTCCCGGGGCTTCTGGGGAGCCTCCCAAGTGAGCTCCACCTTGTGCAGCCTGATCTGCCATCCTAGCATTGCTCTGGCCATCTGTCCATCTGCAAGTCACTGAGGACTCCCTCCTTTGTGGGCCTACGGTCTTGCTCAAGTGGGCTCTTCTGAGGAAGTCCCAAAGACACACTTAGCTCTCAGTCCTTTCATCTCGCCTTCGCAGTGGCTGGGCCAGGGGGCCCAGTGTGCATATTTGGCCTCCATTCAGCCTGCTGCTCTCCCCAGCACCTGCCTGGCACTGAGCCAGGCCCCCAGGACAGGCTTGAGTGTGCAGGTGAGTCACGGGTGCAGGTGTGAGGAGGCAGGTGCAGGGAGTAGGTGAAAGGGTCGGCGCGGCAGCTGGCCAAGGAGCTTGGAGCTCTTTTGGCTTCTGGACTCTGCACTTGACCTGGGTGCTGTCAGCAGCCTGGGATGTTTTCTTCATCCCCAGCACCTGCCACCAAACAGGTGCTTGGTGACAGTTGAAGAATGACCCAGGGCAGGGATTGGGAGAGGCTGCCAGACCACCCCTGGAGGGCTGAGAGGGGCTTCAGTAGTGGACGGGCCAGGGAGGGGCTGCACAGGTAGGTGGTGGCACTCATTGTTAATGCGAGTGCAACTTGGAGCTGAAGAGTGGGTGCCAGTGAAAGGTGTGGTTAGTGGTCGCCGTGACAGCATTGTTAGAGTGGGTGGGAGGGGGTCAGAGTGCAGATGAGAACCCCGGGGAAGCTGCTGCTGTTGCGGGTGAGAGGGGGCTGGTACCTGGGGACTGGGGTCAGCCCAGGGTGGGGCTCCTGAGAGGAGATGGGCACGTGGCACCGGCTTGGGGACACCCTCTGTGTCCCCACACTCCTCAGTTGTGCCCTTGTGGACCCCGCCTGCCCCCCACAATCGTGTCTGCCTGGAGAGCTCACACCAGATCTCTCTCCAGGAGGCCCTGCAGGACGGACTGCCCCCCACCCCCGCAGCATCTTCCCAGCAGCCCCAAGCCCGGCAAGGGACGGAGCAGGTGAGCCCGCCAGGCACCTCGCACTGAGCGCGAGGAGTGCCAGCATCTTTGTGTAGAGTGGGGAGCGCTGGGGGCTGGGGCTGGGGCTGGGGCTGGGGCTGGGGCTGGGGCTACAGCGTCAGTGCCAATCCCAGCTGCTGCACTTCCCATCCAGCTTCCTGACCGTGCGGCCTGGGAGGCAGTGGATGATGGCGCAAGTTCCCGGCTCCTGGCTTTTAGTCTGGCCCAGCCTCAGCTGTCGTAAGCATTTAGGGAGTGACCCAGAGGATGGGGGCTTTCTGTCTGTGTCTCTCTGACTCCAGTCTCTGGCTCTCACATGAAAGGAGGGGTGGAAAACATCCCACATCTGAGTGCATAGGCTCAAGCCCCAGCCCTGCTTTGCCTTTTTTTTTTTTTTTTTTTTTTTTGCTAAGATTTATTTACTCGAGAGGTAGGAGAGTTGGAATTACAGATTACAGGCAGGGAGAGGGAGAGACAGAGAGGTCTTCCATCCATTGGTTCACTCCCCAGATGGCTGCAATGGCCAGAGCTGGGCCAGTCCGAAGCCAGGAGCTTCTTCCAGGTCTCACATAGGTGCAGGGGCCCAGGCATTTGGGCCATCTTCTAATGCTTTCCCAGGTCATAGCCAAGAGCTGGATTGGAAGAGGAGCAGCTGGGACATGAACTGGGGCCCACATGGGATGCCGCCGCTGCAGGTGGAGGCTTGGCCCACTACACCACAGCACCAGCCCCCCCCCCCCCCCCCCCCCGCTCTTTGAAAGGCAGTTTAGAGAGAGAGAGGTCTTCCATCCGCTGGTTTACTCCCCAAATGGCAAGTCAAGCCAGGAGCCATGAGCTTCATCCATGTCTCCCATGTGGGTGCAGGGGCCCGGGACTCAGAACATGGGAGGTTGGCAGTTCAGGTGGCATCTTTACCCAGTACACCACAGTACCAGCCCCTGGCTCTGCTCCCGATCCCAGCCTTGTGCCAATGTGCACCCTGACACTCCGTGAGGGACCTGGATGGAATTTCCAGCTCCTGGCCTTGACCTGGCCCAGCCCAGTTGTAGGGTGCTCTCTGCCTTTCAAACAATTAAGAAATAAGACCCTGCTGGAGGCCTACCACCAGGGCACTTACTGCCCAGCCCACTGCCAGTCACCCTTCAGGGCCCTACGTCCCCAGCTTCACCCCAACTCCCTCTCACCGTACCCTGGCCTCAGCCGCCCCGTCGGCCTCCCCCTGTCCACAGGGCAAGCTCTCCTCCCCTTCAGCGCCTGGAAACTTGCTGACCCTGCACCCCAGCCCAGGCTTGGTGCCACCTGTGCTTCCATGGAGGCACACAGCTCGGCACTACCTGTGGAGGTGCCTGGTAGGTCCCTTCCCCCGCTACACCTGACTCGGCCGTTGTTCTCAGGAGGTTGGGTGAGGGGACAGGACTCTGCCCAGTGTCCAGGACCCGGAGGAGGCCGAGTGTGTGGTGAAGCTCAGACCTCTGGCAGGCCTGGGAGACCGTGTCACCACGAGGCTGCCCTCGCTACGCCGGCCACCACCCTGCCGGCATGGGGGCTCGAGACGGGAGTCGCTGATTGCTCAAGAAAAGCTTCCGGCCCTGCCCAGGAAGAGGACGCGACGCAGAGGTGACCACTGCCTTTATTGCCTCTGAGTTGGAGTCCAGGCCAGGGTTCAGAGGTCTCTGTGGGCAGCAGGCATCTCTGGGCCCAAATTATTGCTACTTGACAAGGTCACCTTGGGGCTTCCCCTAGTGCCCTGAGAATGGACGGGGTGAGAACATGCAGATGATATGCAGATGACATGCAAACCAACCCAGGATCCTCCTCAGGTGCCTGGTGCAGGCATGGGTGCTGGAAGAGTCTGGAGCCAGCCCAGGAGGGTGGTGGGCACGCCCAGGTCCTTACCCCACGCTGCAGACCGATCCGGCCCGGCCTCAGGGCACGAGGTTCCAGGGGTCGGGGTTCCCTGAGCATCAGCCCTGGTTCTGCTGCTGCTTGGGGAAGAGCAGAAGCCTGGTCCCAAGACAGCAGGAAGGAAACAGGACACCCGCTAGGCAGCCCAAGTGGGAAGGGACTGCCCTGGGTCACACAGCAAGGCAGGGGCAGAGGGACCAGAGTCCACGCCTCCTGAGCCGGGTGCAAGTCAGCGTGCCCTGGAGGCCGAAGCTACAAACAGAATCCGCGGATGGAGAAAGGAAGCAAGCAGCCCGGTCCCTGGTCCCTGGGCTCAGGCCTCCAGCAGCTGGCCGGGCCCGGGCTGGGTGCCGAGTTGACCCGTTCAGAAGCTCCCGGGGAGGCAGGCAGGGCCCTTGGCTTTTGCAGGTCGGGTTCAGTTGTTATTCATGACCCACCAGGAGGCTGCAGGACAGGAGGTGGGCGTCAGCCATCTCAGGCCCACTGCCCTCCGGGGCCCCGGGCTGCGGCGGGCACTGGGGCTGCAGCACACCTGGGAAGGACACGGTGGTGAGGGTGTCTGGAGCCCGCAGGTGGTCGATGAGGATGCGCTGGAAGGCCTTGCTGCAGGGGGCCTGCTGGTGCCTGGGGAGGGCGCCCGGGGAAGCCGGCTGAGCCCGAAGCCCCGGCTCAGGCCCCTCCCGCCCCGCCCCGCCCCTGGACTCCCACCCCAGGGCCTTCCTCGCGCCGGCTCTGAGCCCATTTCTCCCATGAGAAAGGGGTACATCAGTGTCCACTGCACTGGGGTACAGTGAGGCGTCAGGTGTGGCACGAGACAGCAGGACTGAGTGCTGGACCCCAGCACCTCGCCTGGCCCCTGGGAGAGCAGGCAGTGAGGGCGGCCGGGTTCCCCGCAGGGCCCGTGCTCGCGGCGTGCTGCCTGGTGGGCGTCTCGTACCTTCTCCAGGAGGCCTCGTCCTGCCAGAACTCATACAGGGTGAAGGAGGCCTGCTCCAGCATCTTCTGGGCGGACACACTGCAGGGCCAGAGAGATGGCCGGGCCGGCCCGGGGCTGCTGTGGTGCTGCCCCCAGCCCGGGACGCCTAGCGCCAGCCCCTTCTCTGCCCCCCCCTCGCCACCAGCCAGCTGGGCACTCACTGCAGACAACGGCTCTGGGCCCCCGTGAAGTCCATGTAGCAGCACAGGGCCCGGTGGAAGTCCTTCAGGGCCTCCTCTGCCACCTGCACCTGCCTCTGGGCCACCAGGATGTGCTGGCAAGAGAGGCTCCAGTTAGCGGGCGCAGCGCAGGGTGAGGGGCTAGGTGCGGCCTGCAGGAGCACCCCACCCTTCCCGCCGCCACCCGGCCCCCAACATCTCTGACTCCATCCTCCTCGCCCCATCTCTAAAGTGGCTGCCACGATCCAGCCATCGTCCCCCTCTTCTGTGGTTTGTCCCCACCAGCTTCCATCTGTACTGGCCCAGACCTGATTTTGAGCAACACAGATGGGGAATGGAGGCTCAGAGGGGCAGTGACCCCAAAACCCAACACCAGCCAGGCGGGGAGCGGGACGGGGGAGAGGCAGGCATGCACTGCAGGGGGCCCTTGGAGCCCCCCCGCCCCACCCCCGTCCCTGACATCCAGCCACCTGCCTCACCGGGCCAGGCCCCTTGGCCAGGTCCTCTTCCTGCAGGGGTTCCAGCCGGGGGGCCTGTGAAAGACACCGAGTGTGGGCCAGGCCGGGCCGCCCCCCCTGCCCTGCCCCCCCCCCCCCCCCTGCCTGGCCTGGGAGCAGTCGCACAGCACTCACCTTGCACTCAAGCTGATCGATGAGCTCCTGGAGACGGCTGACCTGGAGCCGCCACTGCGACTCGGCCTCCGAGCTGCGTCCTGAGGAACCCGGCGGGGTCAGGCGTGGGCCTGTTGGGCCGGGAGCCCCCTCGGCCCAACAGGAGGAGCAGGCCCTGGGGTGCAGGGGATGCCACACCCACCCCGCCGCAGGCACACCTGTGTCCGAGCAGCCAGGAGACCAGGTAGGCGACCGAGGGACAATTCTCAGGGCCCTGCGCCCTGCCCGCCGGCTGCCGCGGGGCCTGCTCTGCACTTCAGCACTCTCTTCATCTGACCTAGGGAAGGGGTGGCTCAGCCCACCTCCCCACCACCCAGCCCCAGAGCCCGCCACCCTCGGTCCCTCAGGGTCTCCCTGCCCACGAAGGTGAGTTCCAAGATGCTGGAGTTCAGGGGCCGGCATTGTGGCAAAGTGCCACGATCCCATGTGGGCACCGGTTCAAGTCCAGGCTGCTCCACTTCCAATCCAGCTCCCTGGTTTTGCACCTAGGGATGCAGTGGGAGATGGCCCAAGTCCTTGGGCTCTCTGACACCCACACGGGGGACCCAGCAGAAGCGCCTGGCTTCGGCCTGGCCCAGCCCGTCACTTCGGCCACTGGGAGAGTGAACAAGCAGGTTCTCTGTCTCTGCCCCGTGCCTTTCAAATAAATAATAAAAAATCATGCTTGCTTCATCCGCTTGGGAAAGCCTAGGGCACTGCAGTGTGGGGACAGCAGGCACTCCTGCGTGGGACCCGGGCTGGCAGGGCCCTCACGTACCGCAGGTCGCGGGCCTGGGCCTCCAGCGTGTCGGATGCCCCCTCCAGGGAGCTCTGCAGGGCCTGCAGCTGGCTCGCCGTCTCTCGCAGCAGGAAGCGCGTCACGAACTGGTCCACTTTGGAGGCCTGCTCGTACTCCTGCGGGGCACAGGGGCTGTGGCATCGCCCAGCCTGGGCGGGGAGCCGCCCTCCTGCTCGCTCCCTCGTGGCCGTCAGAGCACGGGGGCAGGCAGACCTGGCACAAGCGGGCACCGCGACCTTCCTTGCTCGCAGGTGTGAGGCCGGCTCTCAAGAGGCCGCTGGCCAGCTGGCTTTCTGGACCACGAGGCCCCTTCCCCACTGGGGCTACCGCCTTCAGGATTGCTATGGCCAGTGAGCCCCCCGCACAGCTAGGCTGGGTGGGGCGGAGGGCAGTGCGCACAGGCCATCCGAGGGCAGGGTGTGGCACACGGTGTCATGTGACCCCACACCTACCAGCTGGTCCCAGACTCAGAACCTACATCCTTGTTCATTCATCCATGCAATAAACTTTGTACTAGGAGCCGCAGCTACAAGACCCAGGACTGCTGCCCACACACACACATCACACCAGCATTGGCCCCAACAAGAATTACCGCTCACCCCCCAAGGTGGGCAGAGGTCAGGGAGCTGACCACCTCAGGACTCTCAGAAACTCCCGCGCTACCTTCACTTCCGTGTGCCTCAGTTTCCCCATCTATAAGAACGTTAACACTCATGACACGGAGCCGTTGAGTGGCTGCGTCAGGGACGTCCTACTTGGGGCTCAGCCCAGCACCTGGCACACAAGTCCTCCACCCCTTAGAGCTGTCGTCACTGCTGTCAGAAATGACACCAACAAGGACCCTGCCCACTGGCACAGGCAACCTGGGCCGGCACACGACTTGCCTCGGCTCAGGCACCAGGTGGGAAGCTCCTGGGCCAGGCTTCCGGTGGAAGACAGGGACGGAGAGGGCTGGGGCCTCCCTGCTGCGACAGGCCAGTAGCATGTGTCCCCGGGAGGTCCTCTCATACGTTCCCTTTTTGGTTCTTAAAATGGCTGACGGGTTTCCCCTAGTTGCAACCAAAATGCCCAGCTGACACAAGCACCCGCTGTGCGCCAGGCACTGCTACACGAAATTGCCCTTAACCCTTGCAGCAACTTCCAGGAAGCACGGCTGAGCCCATTCCACAGATGAGAAGACTTGGGTCAGTGGAGGCCAGAAGCCAGGCCCACACCACAGAATTTCCTCTCTACTCCCCACCGAGGCCCTCGTCTGCGATCCCAAGTCCAGCTTTGATGAGAAACCAAGGCCAGAAGTCACAGAGTAAACAGAACCCAGACTTGCCAGTGGGTGCCTGGAGTGGTGAGGTCAACCATGAGGTCACAATGTGGCCTCCAGGCCAAGGCTAGGCCAGGGTCCCCGGCGGGCAGGGCAGAGGTGGCCTGGGCCGTGGCCCCCAGTGGTGACCAGCACTGCCATGGGAAACAGCAGTTCCCAGAAGCGGGCCAAAGCGCCCACGCAGGCCTGCGAGGAGATCCCGCCTGACGCGGACGAGGCCGGGAGGAAACAGTTCTTCAGCCACCTCAAGGGCAAGAAACCGGGTGTGAGTGCTGGGGGGTGGGCACTGGGCCCAGGAGCAGGCCAGGGATTCGGGGAGCCAGAAGGTGCCCAGGCTTCCAACCCTGGGCAGATGTGCCTCAGGCCAGCCAGGGAGTCAGCCCTGGTTGCCAGCTACTGGGGGCTGTAGCACGGGGAACCCCCTACCGCCCCAGCCCTTCCCCCCTCCTCAAAGGAGCAGAGGCCCAGGACCAGGAGGGGTAGGTGAAGGCTGGGAGGGTGGGCTCTCAGTAAGCCAGCGGGGCTGGGCCGGGGTCTGCCGCGGTGGGCAGGTTGGGTGAGGGTCCCTGGCGCCAAGCAGGGAAGGGTGGACCCCCACCCACTTCCGCCAGGGAAGACAGGTCCTGGGAGATAAGACCAGGTGGTTGAGGGTCCCCCGGGAGGCGGGCGCAGCCGTTACAGGGTGCTTCCCCTCATGCCCTGCCCCTCCCCCAGGCCAAGATCCTGCTGCTTCTCCACTTGGACAAGCGGCAGCAGAGAGCCGAGGCGGCGGCCGCGGGCCAGGAGCGCAGCCCGGGGAAGACGTGCCGCGCGGCTCGGTGGGCTTCCCCGCGGCGGCGCCCATGCTGCGGGGAGCGGGCGACGGCACCGAGCGGCGCGAAGGCACACGCGAGAGAGAGATGAAAAAAATCCTGGTGGTGCTGCTACTGCTGGACGCAAGGCTGCGCGAAGACGGGCGCCGCGCGGCGGGCGGGCCCAAGGCTCCCGGCAGCGGGCCGCGGGGCCGACGCCAGCCCGCCCGCCTCCAGCGCGGCGCCCGGCGAGGAACGGCCATGCAAGCTGCGCCTCCTCCCCTCGCCCACGGCCTCTGAGCTGCCCGGTGCTCTCCCCTCCCCCCAGACCTTCCTCTATAAAAATCTACAGACCAGTTTGTCGCTTTGCCCTTATACCGTATTATTGGGTAGGGTTTCGGGGTAAGTTTCCCCCCGGCAGGAAGCTCGGCCCATGTGAGGCTTGTCAGTTTACTGACAACACATACCACACCCCGACTCGACCTTTATTAGATACT